AGTTCCTAAGGATATCTCCAGTGAATTCCTGTGGTAACTTTACCAGAGTTGGTACTATGAGCGAAGTAGCTCAACCTTTTGGTCCTGGAACTGTGCATCTGAAAGGGCGTGATCGTGAATCAGCGTAAATCAGAGCTCCTGTTGATGAAGCTGTTAAGCCCTAGCATCTTTAGAAAGGGTGCCACAGGGTTAACTGCTTGCATGCGAGGCACACTGGTCTCAGAAGCAATAGAGAAGGCAAACTGCTGGAGCTCTTTGCAGTTCAGAATTTCTGATGCTTATTAGTTGTTTATACAAAGACAGTATGATGCCATTTTTTTTTTCCTCCAGAAACATTCTATTTAAATATGTTCTTACATTTAACAGGAGACTTTAAAAAAGTGACTTCTAATGTGCAGTCAACTTGGTGAAGAATGAAAAGTCTGAGCAAAGCAGGCACACAACAGCTAGATGTGTTATTCCCCAAATCATAGGATGCACATGAGTACAGCTGAGTAAGCAAGTCATACAGCATGAATTATCAAAGTTTAACCTCTTCTATTCACAGCTTACCTACAATCAGTGTTTGATTTCCAGAAATAGACTATCAATATTAACACTCTTAAATACTGATTCCGTACAACAAATTTATATTTGGCAAAGTCAGATGTTTTATTATGGTTGGTAACACAGACATGGTTTCTCTTCCCCTGGTAGATAAGTGCACAAGCAATTTCTTTAACAAACGCTTGATTATCTGAGCTTCACAATTCTTTTGATAAATATGATTCTGAAATTTGCTTTTTGCAGTCATCGTGCCATTAAAAATCAATGTGTGATTATGAGCAGAAAGTGACCATTGGGGGTGGGGTGTGGGGTGTGTGTAAACACAGAGCCTGATATGAAATCACTTAATTATTTGAGCAAACATTCCTGAAAATACTGTGATATTTTCCCAGTTCTACTTGTGCAGAAATAATTAGTTTCAATGATTTGCAGACTATCTTGTATGGAATATCCTTTTTCATTGCTTAAAAATGTGAAACTTCCTCAGGAAGAAATTAAATAGATATTTCAATGTTTATAGATGTAATACTCTTGTCATTCACATTGAATGAAAATTGCTGGAAACATTTTTCTCAAAGTTTTTTAAAATGAAAAAATAGATATTATTCTGATAGTGGCATGGTATCTGAAGTGCAACAATAAACTCTGATAAGAAAATTTAGTGCTGTGTGGAAGTGATGTTAATGTTCACAAAGTTGTCCTTTTCCAGGTATGTTATCAGCTGTTGTAGCTTGACACTGAGCTACAACACAATCCAGGAGCATGGGAACAGCATGAAGTGTTTTCAGAAATGAAAAATATTGTCTCTGTGAGTGAATATTACTGCTTTATGCAGCTGCTTATTTTACTGCATTTGCTTCCTGATTACTTTTTATTTTGGGTGCCAGAAATTGCTAATGTGCTGTAGAAACATTTCCAGAGCTTGTTATTTTTAAGATAACAAGCAGACTTTATTCAAATTATTTGCCAGGGGGATTCAGTAGTTATGCCAATGCATCAGCCTACACAGACATGAGAAGACCTTTCTTAGGAGAAACCTCTAAAGGAGGTATGAATGTCTGAAGGAAAATTCACTGTTATCAACAGATTCAGAACAGAATAGAAAAGTGTAGTATCTAGCTGGACAAAAACTGCATAGTATCTTCATCGAGGTGTACAAAATAGGAAACCTACGTTAACAAAATATTCTGTTCATTACAGAGAAAGGATGCAACCTATAATTTAGAAGTCTAAGCTTCTTTTATAATACCCATCTCTATAATATCTAAAAATAACAAAAGTGAAACAGTAAAGTAATAACAGAAAGGTACTAAGCTAAGGAAAAAGATCCTTGCTACAAACAACACCTGCCTGATCTTCATCTCTAATTTATCTGCTTTCATTTAATGTTTCTTTTCAGTTCTTCCAATCCCCAAATCCTTAGAGCCCAAAGGTAAAAGACCCCTTTTTGTCTCTGTGGACCACGTGGATGAAGAAAGCACAGCAGTCACCATCAAAGGACAGATCACAGGAACAGGAAAGTAATTAACAGATGAAACCAAGGGCTAGGGAAACCTGAATGGAGGACTTCAGACAAATTAAGGGTGATAGATTTGAAAAGCATACAGTGAGCTTGAGCCTTCACCACTGTTTTCTGCAAGGTTACTTCTTTCTTCTTCTATACAGTGTTTTCTTTCTTCACTTCCCTTTTTCTGTTCTGATCCTCTCTTTCCCTTGAGAAATTCAGATGAGAAATAAGGCTCACGTACTTAGAGAGATGTCAAGTTAGTACCGCAAGGTCGCTATCAGATCTCTTCCAGAAAGTATGACACAGAAGTGGCCTAGTTCAACCATGATGTAGGGGCTTGGCTCAGAATTACTAGTTCAAATCCTATAACCTATATAATCCTATAATCAGGTCATCAGAAAAATGGGTTCTTTTGCTCAAAAAGAAGTCAATATTGTCTCCTCGATTATCTCATCAAGACTCTCTGTCCTATTGAGTCTTACAATAAAGATCGTCTCTTCAGCAACATTCTGAACCAATCACCCCTGTGCTTGGGGTTTGAGATAGGACTGGGAGGGGAAAATCACCCTTTATGGTCATGAGCAACTGGCAGACTCATTAAGGGAAGAAAAAAAAGGAACATACATATATTAGACACTAACACCACTTACCAGAGTAGGACAGTGAGAAGCATTGCCACATCTGGAGAACACCTTCCCCCCACCCCTCCCTTCTTCCCGGGCTCAGCTCTGCTCCCAATATCTCTACCTCCTCCCCCAGCGGCGCAGGGGCAGGGAATGGGGGGTGCAGTCAGTGCTGCCACTTCTGCAACCTGCAGAGGGGGAAGCTTCTGGAACTTGTTCCCCCTGCTCCAGCGTGGTCCCCCTCTCACAGGAGACAGTCCTCCACAAACTTTCTCTGATGTGAGTTCCTCCCATGGGCTGCAGCATTTCCTTACACTGCTCCGGTGTGGGTCATCAACTTTCTCCAACTGGAGTCCCCCCAGGACGGAGCCCTTCCCGAGCTGCTCCGGCGTGGGACACCCCCGCATGCTGCAATCCTCCCAGTGCTGAATTACAGCAGCGGGGCTGCCTTTTCCCATGAGACCCCGGCCTTCTTCGGGCACAGAACCTTGATCAACCAGGCAAAAAACACAGGCCATAAATCAGTGTCTGCTCCACCGTAGATCTCCATGGGTGGCAGGGGGGGCCGCCCTGCCGTCTCCCCACAGGATACAGGGGGGTCTCTGCTCCAGCACACCTCCCCCCTCCTTTCTTCCTCCGTTCCTCCACTGACCTTGGTGTTCACGCAGCTGCCGCAACTCCTCCTCACCAGTCCCACTGCTCCTCACCACGTCCCTTCTTAAATACGTTCTCGCAGAGGCGCAGCCGATTGGCTCAGTTTTGGTGCAGAGGTGGAGCTGACTTGGAGCTGGGGGAGCTTCAAGAAGCTTCTCACAGGGGGCCGCCCCTATAGCCCCCTCCCCTGCTACCAAAAAAACCCACCACTCACTCCAACCCAGGACAAATCCAAAACATAAAAACATTTTTCGCATAAGTTTTTTATAGAAACACAGTACATACATTTTAGCTACACAACTCTGTCTGTAGGGAAAACACTATAGACTAAAGGCAGGAGCCACCTCTTTTAGGCACATGACAGAGTGGAAATAAAATTCCTGAGCACAGACTGTGCAAGATCAGAACAGCTGAGTTGTAGCTACGGCACAGGTAAGGGCATGGTAGGACTGAAATTTGTCTCTGCACTTCTGTACAATCCTAGCAGCAGTTTCATTATTTTACAACACTGTCTGGTAGTCATATATTTGAACCAGTAGTATTACATCACCATTGTCTGAAAGTGATGAAAAACACCTAGCATGACAGATATGCCGTAAATAATTTCCTATCGTTTTCCACAGAAAACTAGGTAAGAAATGTGGATACTAAAACATGAGCCAAATTGTGGCTTCCTGCAGTACACTAGCCATCACTTCCAGCTGCTTCTTCAAGATCTCCCTAACAACTCCGGTACAAAGCCATCCCGTAGCTGATTGAGCCACATTTTCAGTCCCCTGACTGTGTCGATTCACTGGCATCTGGCCTGCCAAAGCCAACATCACCTGCTTTATCCTCCCAGTACGCCCATGCACAGAACACGAACTCACCTCCACGGTGCAGCCTGTGCCTGGCCTTTAAAAACCATCCTTCCCTGCACTGGGGATGATGGTAATAATACTTAAATTTAGGTGCTGTGGTGTGAAAGGTGTGTTAATTAAGTGAGATTTAGGCTTGACATAGGCAGCATTTCTTCACTGAGAGGGCGGTCAAACCCTGGACGAGGCTTCCCAGAGAGGTGGTCAATGCCCCGCGCCAGTCCGTGCTTAAGAGGCATTTGGACAATGCCCTTGACAACAGGATTTAACTTCTGGCCTGCTGTGAATTGGTCGGGCAGTTGGACTAGATGTAGGTCCCTTCCAACTGAAATAGTTCTATTCTAATTAAAAATGAGGGTGTGGGAATTTGGCCAGCATTAACCAGGTACACTTGCTTATACAGACTGGAAAAGGAAAATTACCTGTGGTCATCTAAAGGGATGACTTCATTTTTCTAGCCCATCTTTCACGATCTCCTCTTTTTAGTCCATGGTTATCAAATAACAAATATTAGTCATTTAAGGCCCATCTCATGACTTGAGCAAGCATACGTAGGCGCATATATATATATATATATATATATATACACACACATACTGTCCTGGTTCGGGCTGGAATAGAGTTCACGCGCCCTTTTGCTGGCTGCAGGGGCGCAGACGCACGCGGAGCTCTGAGGGGCTCTGCAGATCCGCGTGCCCTGGCTGTACGCAGGCACGCAAGGAGCAGGGCGGGAGCACAGCTGGAGCGCTGGGCCCGGATTGGCCGCTACCCCATGTCATGTGACGTTGCGCTCACTATATGAAGGAGGGGTGAGGGGGAAGCGCGCTCTCTTTCACTTCCGCCGGCGTTGCTGCGCCGTCTTTGTGTGTCGGGATCGCCAGGCGGGTGTCGGTCGGCAGGTGGTGAGCAATCGCATTGAACATTATCCATTTATACTGTCATCGTATTATTTTATTGCTCTTACTAAACTGTTTCTGTCTCCACGCGCGAGTCTCCCATTTGCCCCTCTGATTCCCTCCCCGTTCCCCAGTGGGGGAGGGTGGGCGAGTGCCTGCGTGGCGTTTGGCTGCCGGCCAGGCTCAAACCCCAAGTCATGGCTCCCTCTGCATCTAGCAACCCACATCAGCGTCTGGCACGGCGGCAGAGAGTGACTGCAGCCTCTTCCCTGCGGATCCCTTGATCCGATTTGCCCCAGGGAAAAGCTACTCAGTAGCTTCCGAAAGGGCCAGAGAGCGGAGTAAAAGGGTCAGATCCTACTCGCAGCCAGCTTTCCCCCGCATTCCCACAGCCCAGTTTATCCCTAAATTCAGCTTTTTTTTTTTTTTTTTTTTTTTTTTTTTTTTAAGTGCCCAAAGCCCCGGTGGCGGGGCCGGTGCCTCACGCGGTGGGTGGGGCCAGTTCCTGGCGGTTCGCGCGGCGGCGGGCCCGCGGCGCGAGCGGCAGGTGGGCCCCGTGGCGGGGGGAAGGGCGGCGGCGGCGGGCCTGAGGGTGAGGGAGGGAAAATGGCGGCCGCCACGTGACGGGAGGGGAAGGCGGGTGATCCATGACTCCATGGGGGCTGCCGCCCGTGGCTGTCTCCCTTCCTAGGCATGGAAGAGCAGGTCCTTGCTAATTGGCATAACTTTTACCCTCGTGTGGGTATTAGTCGTTGACTGTAGCAAGTGACAGGCCTAGTCGTCCGAGGTGTCTGGCGCAGTGAGACTGGCCGTCTAACCCGTTATGTGTTTATTGATTGGTTGGTTTTCGGGTTTCTCTTTTTTTTTTTTTCCTCAACAAGCGGTTAGAGCCTAGTTTTTCAATGTGTTCTTTTCCCATCCCCACCCGAACCCCTTTTTTTTTTTTTACTTAGGAGCACGGGAGCTGCAAGCATAGAGACACATCTGTTGCCGTTGAAGATCCTCCCCCCAAAAAAGTATGCGACTAGGTAGGTATTCTGTAATAACCTCTTAAAAGGGAGGTTTGGGGCGGAAGTAATAGCAATTTGATAATTTCTTTTTAGCAACTGAACTACTGAGATTTGGCTGTTGAAATTAAGTTATAGGCTTGATGTTGTGTTTTTAAGGCACACCTCTGTGTGTGTGCTTTATTGGCAGAAGGATATAACTGAGTGCATAAATTCGTGTGACTAGGAACAGCTGGGCTTGGAGGTAGATGTATTAGCTTCAAATAGTGGATTATGGTAAAATGCATGTTGCTAGTACTTTTGCCTGCCAAGTGAAAGGCATCCGAATCCACAGATGTCTTGGAGGTGTCTGCAGAAGGGGAATGTCTTTGAGTAAGTATGTTTCCGATTTAATGTAGTGAGTACTGATATAGGGAACTAACTCTGCTTTGCTTTGTTGTATAATCCTGTGAATATGGATACCTGAACTGTATAGGTAAAATGGAATATTAACCAAATTTGGTATAATGCTTGCACGAGATAGATATTGCTATATTGTTTGTATTGCTCAACCACTATCTCCTGTTCAGAACAAAGCCTCCCCTCCACCCTTAAGTAAGTGTGTGTCAGCAAAAGATTACCCCACAACCAGCACAAACCAGCTCTGCGGTTTGGCCCAGGTCCAGGAGGCAACAGAGGCTGCACAGGAATCCAGGGTGAAAAGTTCAGCAGTAAGGAAGAGGAGATACTTCCTCCCATGACCACTGCCCAGCCCTTCAAGACCCTTGCCCAGCCCTTCGAGACTGTTGGAGGTAGGTCGTGGGCTGTAGGACAGGTTTACAGCAAGCTGTAAGGACGCCTTGCCCTTGAACTCAAGAACAAGGAAGCGCAATAGCGAAGTTGGCAGAAAAAGAGCTCAAAACAGGATGCTTGTAACCGCAAAGCATAGCAAAGACGCATAAGCAATGCAAGTGCAGCCTACCAAACAGGAGCCAGATAGGGTGCATGCATGCCTCGTGCACAAGGCGAGTCATCCAATCATATTACGCGTGATCGCATGTAAGGAAGTTAGACACTGTATAATTGCACGAACTGTACGGGCAATAAACGGAGCTTGTTGGTGACTTTACATCGTGTCGGTGTTTGCTCCCCTCCATCTGGCCGCGGCATTCTGGTGACCCTGACGTGATCCCAGGACGGACAAGCGGACGAGAGAAGGTGGAGATCCCGGCTGCTTGAGAGAAGCAGGACAACATTGAGAACGTGGCCATGGCTGACCGGTGAGTCAGGCAGACTGCGGTCTGGTTCGGGATGGGCTCCGCTGTATCAGCGATAGAAAAGGCTACGATAGATGGACTATTGAGTGTAGCCAAGAAGACAGGTCACTCCATACCCCGGCAGGACCTTGTTGACTTTTTATTTTGGTGTCGCCGCCGAGGGTTGTTGGAAACTACTGGACAGCTCTTTAGCCAAGATCAATGGCAAAAGATTGGGCAAGAACTATGGGAGAGCGTCCAGACAGGACAGAAGGGGAGCAAACAGATGGCCCATACCTATCGTACGGTTAGGCTGATGATAGATCAGGTGCATGCTGACGCTGAAATCGCAGCAGCCCTGCAGGATGCCCTGAGCAGGGGGAAGATATCAGAGAAACAGGAGGAAGCTAAGGAACTGATAGAATGGGGGCTGTTTCCCGATCCCGTACCCCCTTATGAGTTGGAGCACAAAATTGTTGCTCCCGTTGGTAAAAAAGGGGAGTTTGATGAAATAATTCCCCCCTGGATCCCCGACGAAAAACCCCTGAAACCATCGGCACCCCCGGTTTCCCTTGAGGAGCCAAACCCAATGGAAGTGTCGCTTCCCGACCTCCCAGATTCTCCACCATCCTCACCGTCTCCTCCGTCTCATTCGCCATACGGGGAACTACTTAAGGAATTGAGGGAACAGCGACGACAGATGGCAGATCTCATGATTACCATGCAGGACCTGGACAAAAAGGGTGATAAAGGGAAAAGAAGGGAAATGTATGAGAAAGCAATGGAAGCAGTAAAGGAAGGGATATTGAACATAGAGAAACAACTGGATAAAAAAGAACGAATTGATTGGGGGAGTAGGGAAGGTGTAAAGAAGGCCATTGAGCAAGGGCAGATGACCAAAGAGGATGGACATAAGGAAATAAAAAGGGTGTTCGGAGCGAGCAAAGGACTAACGGAAGAAGAAAAGAGGGAATTGCGGGAAGAAATGTGTAAAGAAGAACAGAGGAAAGGGTATATTCCCAGGGATACCAATTTCGACATGAATAAACGATGGCGGGTGTTTATAATGCAAGCCGATCTGAAAGGGGAGGTAGTAATTGAGCCTATTCTCTCTGCTCCACGGTGGTACACCACGGTGAACGGACCAGAGTGGAGGGCCTTAGAATGGCAGTGGGTTACCAAGTTACAACAGAGTGTGATGGCTTATGGAGCGACCAATTCAGCTGTTCGTAGACAGATGACTGCCTTCATGAAGTATCAAGAACTAGTACCCGCAGATATACGGCTTCTGATGGAAACACTTTTGGGGACTACTGCTTATACCCTATTCTTGGTGAAATGGCAGGATCGCTTAGAGGAAAAGCAGTTAGAGAATGTTAATTTCCCGCCAGGAGATCCCTTAAGGGTAGCAACGCTTGATATGCTGATGGGCTCTGGCGTTTATAGAGACCCTCAAAAGACAGGCCGCATTACCAACAAGGGTATTGGCACAAAGCAAAGCCGCCGCTTTGGAAGCTTTTAATGCATTACCACAAATGGGAAAACCTAACCCTCCCTACTTACAGATAAAGCAAGGAGCAGGGGAGCCTTTCTTGACATTTGTAGATCGTATAAGAGGCCGTTGATAACGCTCCTGACATGGATCAAGATTTGAAAACAATATTGGTTAAAGAAATAGCGACACAGAATGCCAATAGTACTTGTAAAAGGCTACTTGCCACATTACGACCAGGAGCCTCTCTAGTACAAATGGTGGAGATCTGCTCCCGAGCGCCTTGGGAGGAAGAGAAACAAAAAGCTAATATACATGCGGTGGCACTAACGGCAGCGTTGAAGCAAGGAGGGCTTGGGAAAGGTGATCGGGGTCCAGGGGCATGTTACCAATGTGGGAAAACAGGACACCTAAAAAAGGCATGTCCTGCAAGAACGGGGGGAGGTCCTCGGGCTAGTACATTTACAGGTGCGTGTAACTGTTGTGATAAGTATGGTCATAAAGCCTCCGAGTGTCGCTCACGCTTCAAAAAAGATGGAACTCCCCTCCGGGGAAACCTCCAGAGCCGCGGGTTGGGCGCGGCTCAGAAATACCCAGCAGGGCCTCGACATGCCATGGCTGCCTCAACGAACTCGCCGCAGCCACTGCAGGGAGCGCAGGAGTTGATTTGGCCGTGGCAAGAACCATAACCATCAGTAATGGTGAGGTGACTGTGGTCGACTCCACAGCAACGGGACCACTGGGGGGGGGGGTGAGTGCCTTGCTGATTGGCCGATCCTCAGCGAGTAAACAGGGTATGTTTGTGCTACCAGGTCTCATTGATGCAGACTATGAAGGAACCATTAAAATTATGCTTAAGGTCTTTGCACCACCTGTGACTATTAATCAAGGGAGTAGAATAGCACAACTTGTTCCTTTTCATTCTCAAGTGCCGGTGGCAAAAAAAAAAACAAAAACGAGAAGGGGCCTTCGGAAGCACGGGAGATACAGCAGGACCATTGGTTATGTTTACCACAACTATACAGACAGCAAGACCTATGTGACAGGTTCTTGTTATAAATGGGGAAGAACTGTTACAAAATAAAGGGGTTGAGATGATGTTGGATACTGGGTCAGACGTTACCATTATCCCTTTCACAGCATGGCCTAAGCACTGGCCGCTAAAACATGCTACGGCTGTAGTTAGTGGAATTGGTGGGGACTCAGTAACCTTGCAAAGTGAACAGCTAGTAACAATACAAGATGCACTGAACGGGAGACAAGCCTGGGTGCGACCGTATGTCATGCACACACCTTTATGGATAGTGGGGAGGGACGTTATGGTACAGTGGGGGGTAACACTGCAAACCCAGGGTTTTTAATAGCGGCTACTGAGGAACAGAGGCCGCCCATGTTAAAAATACAATGGGAATCGGACACCCCGATTTGGGTGCCTCAGTGGCCGCTGACAGATGAAAAATTACAGCCTCTGGAAGAGTTGGTGGCAGAACAGCTAAGACTTGGCCATATAAAACCTTCACTAAGCGAATGGAACACTCCCATATTTGTAATCAAAAAGAAATCAGGAAAATGGAGATTGTTACATGACCTTAGAGCTGTTAATGCTATAATGAAACCCATGGGTGCTCTGCAACCAGGCCTGCCTTCACCTGTAGCCTTACCGAGGGATTGGCATTTGTTAATAATTGACCTAAAAGATTGTTTCTTTTCTATTCCTCTGCACCCTTCTGACACGGAGCGATTTGCTTTTAGCGTGCCTCAGAAAAACACTTCCCCACCAGCTCCAAGATATGAGTGGACGGTATTGCCACAAGGTATGCGTAATTCCCCAACGATCTGCCAATGGTATGTTGATTTGGCCATCCAGCAGTGGAAAAGGCAATACCCACAGGCTATTTTGTACCACTATATGGACGACATTTTGATAGCAAACCAGGAAAACATTTCACCAGAAACGGAAGATGCCTTGATTGAGGCATTAAAGAGGTATGACTTGCACATCGCTCCAGAAAAGGTGCAGAGAAGTAGCCCTTGGCTGTATCTAGGAATGATGGTAACAGAAACCCGAGTTCGTCCGGGAAAGCTTAAGTTGCATGATGATATTCACACTGTCAATGATGTGCAATAGTGGGAGATATACAATGGATTCGCACTTGGTGCGGGGTGACCAATGAGGATTTAGCTCCTTTGTTTGAGTTACTTAAAAATACAATAAGTCCCACTGAGCCTCGGAGTTTAACAGATGAGGCTCGGAAAGCACTTCTGGACATCGAACGAAAGGTTAATCAGCAACAGGTATACCGATATGACCCTCAATACCCAATTTCGGTTATCATTTATGGTTCAGAAAATAGCCGTTCTGCCATTATAGCACAGGAAATAGAGAAGAAATTGATCATTATGGAGTGGGTGTTTCCACCTCACCAGCTTACAGCCTCTGTGACCACTCCTCAGGAATATATTGGGTCGCTATTACTAAAAGCCAAGGAAAGAGTACGATTGGTCTTTGGGGTGGAGCCATCGCTGTTTGTGCTACCCTGGAAAACAACGGAGCTAATCCAAGAATGGTCACAAGCTTCTATAACTTTTGCTCTAGTGGTAAATAGAATTCCAATATCTGTACATTATCCATCACATCCGATATTTAAAACTACTGCTGTTATAGCAAGAGGTCCAATTGTGAAACAAAAACCAATAAATGAAGCAATCACTGTATTTACTGATGCCAGTGGAAAAACTGGCAAGTATGGTTTCGCATGGAAAGACGCTAACGGGTGGGAAACTAAGGTCTGGGCAGAACTGGGGCGATCAGTCCAGATCCTGGAATTAAAAGCAATAGCCGCAGCATTGGCTCATTTTAACAGAAATCCAATAAATTTGATATCGGATTCGCAATATGCAGTTAGCCTTCTAAATCTGCTCGATCAGGCCAAAATTGGAAAGATTGGGACACCTGAAATACTCGAATTAGTTATTCGACTGAAAAGGCTGTTAGCTGAAAGGAGTCACGAGATTTGGTGTACTCACATGCGAAGTCATACTACTGTTCCAGGTGTTTTTACAGAAGGTAATGCCGTTATTGATAACGCTGTATCAGGAGTAGTATCATTGCAGGGATTTGAAGCAGCACGACGGTCTCATGAATTTTTCCATCAATCCTCGTGTGGTTTGCAAGAAGAATTTGGTATCCCGCGAGCCCAGGCAAGGAGTATCGTCGCGTCATGCCCAGACTGTGCCCGGATACCTCCGCTACAACATCAGGGTGTTAACCCTCGAGGCCTGGAACCTAGATCGGTTTGGCAAACAAATGTTACAGAATATCCGCCTTTTGGGCGACTCAAATACATTCATGTTTCTGTGGACACACATAGTCATGCTGTTTGGGCAACGGCATTATCGACTATGGCATTTCGAGCCGTCAAACAACATTGGTTGCAAGCTTTCGCTGTCTTGGGAGTTCCACAAACAATAAAAACTGATAATGGACCTAGTTAAGTAGGACAGTATAGCCAACGATTTTTGGCCCAATGGAACATAAAACATATCACAGGTGTCCCTTATAATAGCACGGGACAAGGTATCGTAGAACGCCGTCACCAAGACATAAAACGCTTACTTGGAGTTTTGAAAAAAGAGGGGGAGCTAGTCCTCTCGCCTCATGATATGATCGCAAAAGCATGCTATGTTTTGAACTGGAAAAATCCGATTTCAGTTAATGAAAAGGATGCTGAGCTCCCTATCAAATTCCATTTTTCAAAGGAAAATAGCATACTTAAAGCACCTGTGCAGGTGTGGGATCCCAAAACTGGAACTTGGGATAAACAATCATACATTTTGTTAACCTGGGGACGGGGATACGCTTGTGTTTCTACAGGTAACGACAAACCCCGTTGGGTACCAGCGAAATGGGTACGTCCACACCTAACCCGTGATACAGAAAATGCAGAATCCGAACCCCAGACATCTAAGTGAAGAGGACCATCGGTGAGTGGAAGTGAAGCTGTTAATTACCATTCAACCGATACTGGGTAAACTGAAAGGATAGTGTAGTTCCGCCATTGATCGAGCGATTGATCAGTGTCAATCTTTAGACAGTATTTTAAGTCTGATTCCGACGTTTCATACATTTTATTATAGGGGGCCTAAGAGATTAGCTTGTATTTAGTGTCAAGTTACTCAGTGTGCTGCTTGGGTATTGCTTTTTGCGGGGGTGGTCAGCAAACTAAGTGGGTGCATCAGTCTCAGTTACCTGAGCTGTGTTGCCCCAGTTGTGCATTTTACTGGCAGCAGACAGAAAAGGAAACAAAAGAAAAAGAACAACAATGCTGCAAAATAATCCCTCACTAACTGATTATTTATCTGGGAATGCAAGGGGTACTAGGAATGCATAACATAAACCCTAGACAGAACATGTGGGTCACGTGGGCCAATCAAACAGGACAGGAATCGTTCTGTTTGTCTGTGGCAACGCCAAATGACCCTTTTCGGACTTGCTTGATAGGGATGTCCATAGAATCAGTAGATGACTTTGCCTCTTGGATTGAAGGAAATATAGGCGATATCAAGAGGACTGATGGATGTCAGCTTCATGATGGAGGCATGCAGGTGAACGTGTGTGCTAGGCTAAATCTGACTAAAAATCCTTTGGGCAGCTGGGCCCTTAACATCACGCAGAAACTCAATATCACTGGATGGGAGCCACAGGAATTAGAATTACTAGGATCCAGACCTGGCAATTACTGTTTATTTTTGGGATATGTTCCTAATAGTACCCTGGACCATGGGACACTCAAAGTAGGGGTAAAACAGGAATGACCCAGGAATGAGAGCACATGGATTGCTCCAGCCAGCCCGTGGTTTCAAAATACTAGCCATTACTGTGGTGGATGGATACGGGCTGCAAAGGTAAAAAGGCCAGAAACCCTTAAAAGACTGCCGCCTGGAATTTTTCTCATATGCGGAGATAGAGCATGGCCTGGGATCCCAGGGAACGCTATGGGGGGGCCCTGCTATTATGGAAAACTGACATTATTCGCCCCTAGCATTCACCAAACATTGAACATAACACATCGTGAAAAGTTACGAGCCAAACGCTCTATAACTCAATTAGGGCCAGATTGTAAGGATAACGTAGAGCCATGGGATAAGCCCTCTAATATCATAGCCTCACTCTTAGCACCTGGAGTAGCGGCTGCACAAGCCCTTGCACAATTACAAAAGTTAGCTTGTTGGACTGGTAAACAAATCAATCTTACATCAGAAATTTTAAGCGAATTAACCACGGACGTAGATAGTATTAGACACCAATTATTACAAAACCGAGCAGCAATAGACTTCTTGCTCTTAGCACAAGGACACGGCTGTGAAGAATTTGAAGGGATGTGTTGTTTGAATTTATCAGATCATTCTGAATCTATTCACAAGAAACTAGCTCAACTTAAGGAAAGCATGAAAAAATTGACTGTGGAAACTAACCCTTTTGACACATGGCTAAAATTCTTGGGCATCGGGGGATGGCTGCGTAGTCTTATAATGATGTTTGCTGGAGCAGTTATTGGGATATTGCTTTGCTTGCTTTTTGGACCCTGCTTGCTACAATGTATTATGCAACGCCTGCAACAGATGGCTGATGCTTTATTTGAAAAAAGAGGGGGAGATGTTGGAGGTAGGTCCTGGGCTGTAGGACAGGTTTACAGCAAGCTGTAAGGACGCCCTGCCCTTGAACTCATGAACAAGGAAGCGCAATAGGGAAGTTGGCAGAAAAAGAGCTCAAAACAGGATGCTTGTAACCGCAAAGCATAGCAAAGACACATAAGCAATGCAAGTGCAGCCTACCAAACAGGAGCCAGATAGGGTGCATGCATGCCTCCTGCACAAGGCGAGTCATCCAATCATATTATGCGTGATCGCGTGTAAGGAAGTTAGACACTGTATAATTGCGCGAACTGTACGGGCAATAAACGGAGCTTGTTGGTGACTTTACATCGTGTCGGTGTTTGCTCCCCTCCATCTGGCCGCGGCACAAGACCCTTGCCCAGCCCTTCAAGACCCTTGCCCAGGACCAAAGGAACTCACTGCGCAGCCGCAAGGAGTTGGAGACCTAATTATAATAAGTGAGGGTAGGCAGGGATAGGTTACGAATACGTATAGGCATCTCATGAATATGCAACACTTTGTAACATATAAGCAAGGCAGGAGCGGTGGGCGGGGGCACATGCTTGTGGCGGAGCAATCCCCCATGTGCCCCAGTGCCGAATAAACATACCTGCTTTACAACTCTTTGTTGTGAAGCCTTTCATCCGTAAATCATAAGTTGCTGGCAAAATGTGCTGTTGGCATGCAGGCTAGGAGGAACAATCCCCCTTGCACCTAGAACTGCAATAAACACCTGCTTTATAAGTCTTCGAGAGCTGTAGAGTCTGTTTCTGCACATCAGTACTAGGAGTGATCTGCGACTGCAGGAGCAGAAGGAGATGTCAGGTTGATACCAATACCTTTGTTTCAGGGCAGTTTGCAGCTCTGAACATCATACTGTTCAGTGATGTTTGCTGTCTTGCATGTGTTTCTCGTAGCAATACTAAACTGCCTCAAACTTGTTTTTACAGGGGAAAAACACTCTTGAATTGTGATGACAGAAGATGGGATTAAATTCCACATGTGAATTCTAGGAGTAGCTGTTAGTAGAGCTTTTAACTTAGGGTCTCATATTCTGGAATTGATGCCTTTTGCCAGCAATATTATTTCTGGTTATCAAGAAGCTAGCAAAAGCTAATTTTAGGCTAGATCTTAATCTCACTTTAGACTTAAATGAATTTTTTTAATAAAGTTCAGACTTGGAGCCTAAATGAGAGATTCTGCAGTCCATCTCATCTTCACAAAGGGACTGGAATGTAGCTTACTGTGCCTAAAATTAGCCTTGACTGCTTCTGTACAAATACAGTTAGGACAACTAGTTCATTTTGTGCTGCTTTCAGGGATCTCCTCCTATCTTTAGGCTGTCACCAAGTCTTAAGCAGTTATAATAATGCTCTTGGTAGTTTAATGGCTCTGCTGTGCTCTGTCATGTGGCTGACCATACTGCAGTATTACTAAATCCAGTGACATTTGCAGCTTCAGTGGTGGCTCTTTTGCTGCTCAAGTGTGTTAGGTTGTTACAAGGACTATACATGTAATGTGTGAGCTGAAGGTAAGTTCGTGAAGTCTGGAAAATGAATGTAAAATAGTCATAGTACATATGCCAATGTAAAGCATTCAAATGTATGAATAAATTAATAAAGAGACATTGATTCTCACTGCAAGTGTCACTTCTTCCTTTCAAGACTACTGATAACCAAGACTAGACATGCACGTGTTCTTTGGCGTGAAAGATACATGCCACATCTGCCCCTTGTGGGGAAAGATACAGCTTTTGATAGCTGGGCCTTTAATTTCTGACTGTGGTTTTGGGGCAAAGCAGTGGCTGTGGCTCATGCATTGTCTGGGAGCCATTCCACAGGTGTATGATTTTAATCAGATGTTACTACTGTAAGGGAAAAACAGTGACTGTGCAGCTGCTTTTTCCAATTTGGTTGCTGAGGGATCTTTTCTTTTATCCATATTCAAGAAAATAATATATAGAGTTCCAGTGGATGGCGAATCATTGTAGAATCCGACAAGATAAATGTTTTAAGTAAATTTACTGCCTTATCTAATACCACCCATGTTGGCACAATCACTTGTGGAATAATTTCCAGTTAATAAGGAGGTTTTTTGCAAATCATTGCAAACTGAAAAGTGGGGGAGGAAGGGGAGGCTTTGAAAGGGCTGGAAAACAAAATCTGAAGCTAAAGCTGAGACCACTGGGCAGTGCAATTACTGCTGAGTATTTGGCAACTGAGGGGGTGATTCCTGTTTGAAGTGGATGGGGGTGGGATTGTGGACTTTAATTACAACATGGATTAGATTTGAGGAAATTACTTCCGATGGCTAGGTTAGTCACTAGAATAGACTGGTAGGAAGATTAAGGAGCTGTCATAGGAAGCTTTTTTTTTCCCTAGCATGTACTTTTCCTGCCATTGCAAAAGTATAGCTGAGCGTATATTCTGTGGGTAGCTGTAATAAGTGATACTACACCTGTTTAATCAGTGGTATCTGATTACCCTTTTAAACAGCTCTGCATACAACCCGATCATATCACATCTTTACTGTTCAGTATTCCAAGTTAGTGACTGCCCCACCTGCTAGGCAACAGTCGTGACTACATACTGTGAATTTCCTTTTCTCTGCAAAGAGTGCTTTCAGAAAATAAGTTAACAGATCTATTCTACAAGGGCAGTTACTTGCTGATTGTAGACAAGAAAATGCGACGCAGGCAGCGGCCAGGAGAGAGCTGCTGTCCCCGGCACGAGGTGTGGGAGGGCACCCTGATGCAAAGTGGCTTCCTTAGTTTTTTTAGATCAATGTTTTTGTGACTGGCTTTGGTTGCATGAATAAAACCAGCTGTAGGCAAACTAATAGCAGGAGTGGAGTTGGAGATCTCTTTCTCCAGGGATCTGGAATGCGTTAAAACTGACCACAGAACGCAAAATTCAAAAATATACAAAGGTCTGGAGAGAGGCATTATTCTTTTATGGTCACTGAAATACTGAAATTGTAGGCTTTTTGGTATTGGCTCTTAGCTAGTCTGGCATTGCACTGATGTGGTTGTCTGAGGTGTTACCCCAATTACCTTGAGTTTTAACCTTTGCTTTTATCAGGCAGCACCTGCCTTTTTAATCTGTTTTATCAATTTCAGTGCATAATAACTGCATTGTTTCAGGGGTTTTTTTCTTTTTTTTTTTTTTTTTTTTCACAAGTTGCCCTTTGAAAACTGTCATGTGTCTGCCTCCTATAACACAGGATCCTTTTGTGTGAAACTAACTCAGAGGAGGACCATGTAGCTATTCTGCTAGTCCATTGTATGAACCAAATGTTGAGGGCACTGGTATTTCCACCTGAATAAATTGGCCTGGTGGCTTTACCTGGCCTGCAGGTTAGATTTGTGAACATTCATATTTAGAACTTGCAAAGATAAAGCAGTGGGTTTGAATTGAGTAGGAAAAAATAATTTTCAAGTTATGTAAAAGTATGAACTATAATGTTTGTTGTGGGTATATCTGACTAGTTTTGAGTGCTTAGTGAGGTTACATAGATTTTCCTATGACTGAAGCTTTCCATCACCATCCAGTCACGTGCACAGAGGGCAGTGAAATCTGCTTTTCCAGGTTACTTGAGTGCAACAGAGGTATTCTTAAAATATGTGGCTTTTTCACTTCCATGTGGCTTAGGATGTCTTTTTCATGATTTCTCTTGAAATTTAATTCCTAATTCCCAAACAACTGTTTTCTTATCTTTCCAATCTATTCCTGTTGCGTTTTAGCTCTTACCTTTGTAGATGCTCCTTATTCTTCTGCAGCCTTTTCCATCTGCAGTTACATCCAGTCTTGCACCTCTCCAACTTTTATCCTACCCAGCCTTTTTTTTTTTTTTTTTTCCTTTGCTACAAAGGGCAATACTTTCCAAACTCTTAACTCATCTTTTTCCTGTTTGTGATTGCTTGGTGTTGCATTTGCAGGAAGTTACATCGTCAGTTTTTATGTTCCATGCTAAATAAATGGAAAAAGGAGCTACTGCATGTGAGTAGGTATCTAATGTGTACAAGCTAGCTCTGGTCTCTACTACCTCAGTTAACTGCTTTTGCTGTTACTCATCAGCTTGGAGCACAAACAAAAACACATTTTTCTTTCCTGATAACCCAAACTTATTGTTTTCTGGGTAGTTTCTTCTACTGGGATCTGCTACTTCAGCCTACTTGGTTTAACGTTCCTGTTAAGTTCTGACGTTGCCACTCCTGAAGTCCTAAGGGCATTAAAATCCTCTTGAGTATAAATATTCTAGCACTTGAAAGCATGGAATAGTTCAGTAACACTGAAAAGGATGGAGAACATTGAATCAGGACTGACTTTTTGTTAAATATAAGCTGTTACAGTGCTGTGAATTTTTCTGGAAGACAGCTGAGGTTCTAGATAGTCTGCATATAATGATCATAAAATGAGATATTGGTTTATCTGTGGTTTACAGATAAGTGCCCTTTTACTTTGTGAAGGTGTTCAGGGTTGAGATAAATGCATGCTAAACAGGCTTTGTGTGTCTGTTGCAGTAATGTTTCTGTTCTTTGTTTCTGTTGTATATTCTCTGGAAAATGGACAAAAGCTTGGGAAGCTCGTGGGGACTACATCTAACTATAAATCTTCATGGTGTTGGGGAACCTGGATAGATTACACATCGGTGATCAAGATGGTCATCTAATAGAAATGCTGAGTGTTTTCTTATGTCACTGTTAACACTGGTCAACCTGCTTAATACAAAAAAAGCCCTTAGTGTAGGCTGAAGAGCAGGTTTTTCTACCACCTTGTATGTATTAAAAATGTTGAACAGAGGGCAGAGCAGCAAGAGACAATTCTTAAGCGCTTTTAAGAATGCAGGATAAACTTATTTATGATAACCTAACTGGTCTAAGTTAAAGCACACAAAGCACTAGGAATTCCACTGTACAGAACAAACTTCAATCTCTGAGAAAATGGCCCAGAGCTTATATGCTTTGAAGAAAATATGTTCAAGAGCACCCTTTTTCACTTAAGAAAGTTCACATGAAGTTTACATAAAGATGCTCCTGCAGCATCTGCTTGTATGTTATCCACAGGATTAATGTATAAAAGTTGTAGTCAGTGTGGCAGTTTTTATTGTACACATTTATATCACCAGGCTCATTGAACAAAGATTAGAATGACATAGCATAAAGACAACTTCATTTTATGCTAGAAACTGAAAAGGCATTCTCTCTGCATGAAAATGGTAGTGCAACAATTTAAAATCTAATGAAGCATCCTACTGAAAGAGCAAAACTAATTAACTACTGTACTAAATATTAATGTTTACTACACTTAGTACGTGGACTTGATTTCCCCCCCACTACTGTATCTGTGGTGCAATTTCTAAAAGATTATTACTTCCCCTGTATAAAATGCATGTATTGTACTACACAGCCTATTTCACCACATGTCTCAAAATAGTCTCATATAGCAAAATTTTGATGGTAAAAGTAGATGTATTTTGACAGATTTACTTCCCCTTCAATTAAAAGGGCTACATATAAGTAAAAATGTAAATGGTTTTAAAGTTCACTAGCAGTGTTTCACATAGGCCTAACAGTAGGTGGTCACAGTACTATGATTTTTGACATATTTTTAAATAAAATTTAACACTATTTCAAATAGTGTGGAGTTACAGAGAACTAAAATATATTAAAGCACCTTGTGTACTAGTTTAGCACCAGTTCCAACAAGATATTTAAACTAGTCACGACCCTTGAAAGCTAGGTTTGAGGCTGGGGAGTAATTAAGGGCCAAGTCTGAAATCACATGGGCTTCTGCAGTATCATCACCACTTCTGCCTGCAAACTGAGTTGTCTTGGATATTTGTTACAACACCAGCAAGACCCAGAACCATACAGAAATGAATGATTGCCCACTTACAACAGAAGTACAAGCATCCCACTTTGTTCACAAAAGGCCCCACAACACTGTCGCAGCCAGAGTGCTTGGGGATAGGAAACAGATGAAAACAGTCACTGGGAGTCACAGTTGGCACAATCGCTATGTGGTAACAGGAATCTGCCACGCTTGTCACACTGGAGCCTTTCATGGCCCACAGAGCTTTCATCAATTTATGAAGCATGTTTGTTAATGTAATACACAGAGCACGCTTGCAGATCGTCAGAATGGCCTCTAATAGGGGCTCTAGAGGCAGTGCCGGACTTTCCTGTCTCCCTCTTGACTGTGGGTGTCACAGGTATTTTCAAGGCTGATACCCGTTAGTGTTGCTCAAAGATGATGGTAACTTTCTCCGTGGTAAGTTCAATGGGGTGGCTCTTTCTAAAAGGGTAGTAAGTTGGCTTATGTCTTGTACGTTCAGAGTGACGTTTTATCAGTGCATTTTTCTAATAAACCATTAAGGTTTGCTTAGTTTGGGGAACAGTATTTGTAAAAGGAATTAGATGGAATCAAGATGTGCCAATACTTCAGAAGTCACTGAAAACTATCTAACTCGACTTTCCTGTAAGATCAGTCTGAACCAGTGTTGCAACTAATCAGGAGACAGTTGTCTACATATTATCTTGTAGAAAATGGTAGTTTAAGACTTTATAGACCTTTTCAGACAGGTTTTGGCTCAACATCTCCAGTATTTACATTGTACGTACTTTTAGGATTGACAGAGGTTCTTAGTGTTACTTGAGTAAAGCTCCTTCAAAACCAGCAATGAGGACTGGTATGTTTGTCTGTCAGTCTGATACTGTACTGACAGCTAGTGGTAAATAGGAAAAGTAAATTCTCTTTAAAATGCTGTATGTACTAAGAACTATGGAATTCAGAAAGAAGACAGATATTTATCTAGAGGAAAGAAAGTAAGAGGTCATTTGGTTTTGACCTACCTCTTGCAAATGTCCAGGAAGTTTGCAGGGAAACTTAACTTCCAGTGTACTACCTATTTCAACTGGGAATATAATTTATGCACACTAAGATGTGAGAACATTTATCAGAGTAGCTGGGAATCTGATTATTGACAATTATTTTCCTTCTAATACATAGTCCTAATTGCCAAAAATCAACTTTCTAATGGTTTTATTAGCTCATGAAACGTGAGTCAAAATTAGAGGGCTGAGTGCAAGATCATAGGAAGACTAGGAAGACAGTCAAGAACTCATTAAATAAACTAGACTGTAGATTAATTTTGAGATCTGTAATTAATTCTAGAGAAGCTTGGAGCATAAATAGCTTGGAGCTACCACAGTCTTGCTGTGGGCAGTGAATCTCACACTGAACTCTCCAGCTGTCCTGCTCCAATGTTACTCTAAGCTGGCTATCACTTTCCCCCTATTTTAGGGACATGGCAACTTGTCCGTGCGATATGTAAACTTCCTTAACACTGAGGGATTTTGTTTGAATAGTAATCCCTAACTGGAAAGGTTGTGTGTATACAGCTTGGATTTAACAAAAACACATGAATTGGGAAAATGTGTCTGTTTCCACCCACTGTGGGCCCCAGCTGTGCACTGTGAGCTGTTCAAGCTGTCCTGCCTCAAACTTCATTAACAAAGTCTGGTTTTCATTACGGACATTCATAGTTTGGTCACACTTTTTATCCAGGGTACAAAAGATGATACTTTTGTGTAGACACCTGGAGAATCTTTCACTCCACAGCCATAGCCCCAGGAGGTCACACCATACACGACCCAGCTTTCCCCTGGACGTTCACACATCAGTGGTCCACCACTGTCTCCTTGACAGCTATCAACGCGTTTCTGTTCCTGGATGTTTCCAGCACAGAGCATTCTGCCTGTGAATCTTCTTTTGTATCGCTCTTCGCATACCCTCTTGGGAAGTAAGGGGATGGCAGCCTGTTGCAATGTTCTTGAATAAGCTCTTCCTGCAAAGAGGCCCCGTATTATCGTCTCATTATGATGATTCATCTCAGAAACATAAATGTGATTTAATCTAATTTCTGCTGTCAGTCCTTCAAGAGTAAATACTGAAAAAAATCTGCTGTGCATTAAAGATAATACTAAAATACTCTATAGATATTGTAAATATAGAATACAGTTGCTTTTAAAAAAACCTTCAAGATATAACTTTACTCCTTGTGTTCACTGGGTCTTTCCAAGGCTGGAGTTTGTTTTGTTCCGAAAACACATTGTGTCTTCTACAGGAATGTATGCCTTAATACTTAAAATGGGGAAGCTATTTTGGGAAGTCTTGAGAGGTGGAGACTAAAGCTGGAAAAAATACTTCATTTCTAGGTCACCAGTTCAAATCTACTCTAGCTCAGCATGAGAGGTACTGCATACTCTGTCGGCTTACCAGTAGAGCATCCAGCCAGCCATCACGCTTGCTCCCTGTAAGAACACACGAGCTTGCTTGTCGCCTCAGCTGAAGAGCTAATGTGACTGAGCCCCTGTGTGCTCCGGTAGTGTCAGCCCAGTCTTTTACAGTCCTGGTAACTCCTGTGTACCAGTGTGCTAATGGGACTCCTGACCAAAAGGGATCTACGTTTTGGGGGGGTCACCAAAACTTGGCCTTTGGTTTTCTTTATCTGTAGTGAATCCTGCCTTGTGTAATCACTGCTCTGCTTGTAAAATGTCAAGATTTAAATAATTTGGCTTTTTTCTATAGCTTGCACCTCTTTTTCGGTTGGAAACATGGGAAATTAAAGCCAGTGTTAAGGTTCTCTTTCAAGTAGAGTCTTAATACTTGTGAAATAATTACGATTCATACAGTAAATATGAAATGTCAGCTGAAGTACTGCAATGATGTAATTTCTGACTGCAATTAAAGCCAATTATTGCAGTGGTTAATGTTTCCTTAAATAGACGCCCTAAGTAAACAGCATTGCAGAACTTTCAGTGAATTGTGTAAAAAGCTAGACAGAGCTAGGCAATGAACTAGCAATTGTTTTTAACAAAAAAACCCCACCACCCTACAAGTCTGTCTCCTTTACTGTAGTACAGTGACCCAGACATCTGTGCACACAGATTCATGCATGTAAAGAGGAAGAACTGATATTTGGCCTTGCTGCCTTGTCTCCTTGCCAGTTTGAATGAGTCAGTGGAACAAAGGCTCAAGTTGCTGTCTTGCACTGTATTCCGCACCATAAAAACATGAAAGTAAAACACGGTTATTTGTAAAACATTTAAAGAGGAAGAATCTTGTACTGACCTAAAAAGTGACTAGATAGTTTGTTCCAGAAGCCTGGACTGAAGATTGCATTGTGGCTCTCTTAAATTTGGCAAGATGTTCTCTTATTTAAAACTAACTGATTGAAAATGTCAGTGGTAACAAGGGAAACTAAAAATGTTATTTGCAATTCTATTATGTGTGTATTTTCTATCTATTTTTCTATTGAAGTAGTGTAATTTATAGAACTTTCCTAAAATATTCATTGTACTTACCTTAAAAACCTTAATTATATTAGAGGTGTTAGTTATGTTCTGAGTCAGGGGGTGATAAGCTGCTGTGCAAGGTATGCCTGGCAACAAATAAGCTTTTCATTCATGCTTGTCAGTCTTACTGAGGCCATTTTACCGACTGCTTCTGTGATTTAGTGTGACATGGTTAATCACCACTTTTGAAACACAAACTAAATTCAGTAAACAAAGTGTTGTCATTCCTGGTTAAGGATCAGGAAAGAAAATATTCCTGTATATACGAAGAGTAAAATTGTTCCATTTTGAGCATTTTCTTACTCTGAGTATTTGAGGTTCTTTATTTATTTACATGACCAGCCTCAGATAACGAGATCGATGGGTGGAAATCATGAAAACATTTTTACCTGTGTCACCCCATCCAGTGATATAACAGTTGGGAGCACTTTTCTGTGGTCTCTCTCTCCTTAATGGCAAGCAAGCAGGTAGGACGTGGGTACTGAATCTGGCACACTGCTCCTCTGGCCCCTGTAGCCTCACCAGTGCAATGTCGTAGTTGCTGCTGTCAGGCCTGTACTCTTTATGCATCACTATCTGTTGGACTCCGATTTCTTCCTCGTACTCTTCTGGTACCAGTGTGTGATAGTCTCCCACTCGCACAGCATAGTTCCGAGTGTTGTTGCCATACCTAAGATTGAGGTGAAAACAAATGGGACCGGTTCATGCAAAGTCAGATGCTAAGCGTGCAAACAGATTTGATCAGGATCTTTATTGCTTATATAAATAATGACACTAAAAGTTTTTTTTAAAGAGAAAAAAAGCTTTCTCAGATGTTTAGATTGACATTCAAGTATATCCTAAAGAATATCAAAAAACTTTCACTGAAGTTTCCGGTTGGGCTATGTTCCTTTTTGTTTATTTTCACAGGCAAGGTTTCTTATGCCATGACTGGCACTTATTTCAAAGGTGCAAGCAAGGTGCGCATTATAAATGTATTTAGGAAGTGTAACACAAACTGCCAGTAATTATAATGAAAACCTGAGTACTAACATAATTGTGATGCTCCAAATAAGTACTGACATGAAAACAGTGTTCAAGCTTGCTTTGTACGTTGGTTGAGAAACTCCAGAGGCTTCGATAACTTGATAAAAACATCTTATGTTAACTGAAGTTATAATAAGGAAAACAAAGCATATGTGCATCACAAGCACCTATTGTCAAAGTGACAGAAGGCTGTAAATCTTAGACTTGTTCTGCATCTAATATGACCCCAATTTCTTTCATATCACAGACTAAATGGTAAATACCTCAGAGATGATTACTGTGGCTGAAAGAACAATTTTCCGTGCATGCCTTTGGAGATTTTTGGATTACAGGACACACAGCCCTTCTCAGGAAAATGCAAACGAGGAAGTACTGTTGGATACATTTCTTTATTTTAAAATCTGGCTAAGCCAATCCAAATATTTTTCCTTTGACTTTTCCCTTTCCCTCATAGCCTTCAATAGGAAGTTTGTAATACATGTGCAGAAAACACCCTACAGTGTTCTGTCACCTTCTAACCTATACTTGTGCTTTTTATACCCTCCAGCACTGTGCTGATCTCCATAGCTTACTAAAGCTTGCTTGAGGAGCAGCAGACAAAGCAGGAACATTACAGGTTTCTTCTGAACAACACATAGCTGTACCACTGAATATTTCTTCTAATTGAGGGTTACATTCCTTGTTGCCTGCAAAGCTTGCTTTGTCAAATTCTGCACATCTCCTTCAGGTCTTCTGTGAGTAAAATTTCACTTCTAGGCTTGTAAAGACAGAATGTTGCAGGCTATGACCAAACATCTGTTCATCTGAAGATGGCCTTCTGTATAGGAAAAATTAAGTAACTTGTCTACCACAAAACTTTTTCCAGGTCCTCCTCTGTGGGAGTCTGTGTGAAATAATACTCTCCAGATACTGTATTTTCCTTCTGGTTGGAAATCAAAATTCTATAGCAGCTGGAAGTGAAGAGATGCAACTGATGCGGACTTTTTAAAGTTTACAGAGGTGTTTAAAAAAGTATTCCTACTGATTTTAGTTTCAGAGGGAGCACTGAGAAAAATTGTGTATTCTACTAAATACATTACTAATTTCCTCCCTGAAAAAAATAGCTCAAAAGATTTTTAATTTGTGGATGTGTATGTCTATCTCAAGATATTTAAGAAAAACTCTATTTGTATATGTCACATTACTAATCTGTTTTGACCACAAAAGTAGTAGTATTTTATAACTTATCACTGAGTCAATTTTAATTAGGAATTTTGTATTAAGAAATGAGAGCATAAATAGGGAGGGAGCATCAGAAAAGGCAGAAGCATGAATCCTGGCTTTCCAGGCATTCTGATTCCAGTCCCTTGAAGTTTCTAGAATAGAGGTATTCCTTTGCAAGCTTTCTTAAAAAACAACTGCTTGAATCTCTCTTTCTCTTGCACTAGACCTCACGTTCTCATCTCTAGATCATCTTATGTGGTTTTGCCAGTTTAAAAAGCTCACTAAGACTTCACAGTTGATTCTTTTTACTGATAAAATAAATGGGAAAATTCCACTGAAGTAAGGCCTGGTACCTGATACATTGCTTTTATTTTTGTTGCCTTTAAGGAGATTCTTCAGAGTAAGAAAGGCTGTTAGCTCTTAACTAGTTTCTGGAGTTACATTTATCCATCTGTATTTGGCCATCTGAAGTATGACATCAGAGAAATCCTAAATTCTGCATCCTTGCAGATTGTCTGTCAAATCCTTGCTCTCTGCTGCCTGCCAAGAATTTCTGCTCTAACACTGATAAATCCCCTCCTGGGTCACTGTTGCCACATATCTTACATCAAAAAAAGGTATTCTTACCATACTTTGCTGAGATACTTATTTGTTTAGACTGATAACAGTCTACTACTATTGTTACTCTGAGCTGTGATGTGGGGAGCCAGTAAAAGTATAATCTGGCACTGACTAGAAAACAGTGGGGTTTTTTTACAGCAGTGCTGTGATCTGATCTATAACCTTGGGTGAGTTTCTTTTCTGTTTTTTTCTTCTGCCATCTATTTGGCTTTCCTTAATACAGCAAGGAGTAAGGCTACACGCATCTTCAGTATGTTAAAACACGATGTAGTACAGCCATTATTTAACTTAGCTTTCTTCTAATATTATTCCTGTGAAAGTGACCGTTTTCTGGTAAAGATGCACAACGTATTCATAAAATGCTTCGTACATTTCAGTACCAGTTTGTACTCAATAGGTTTTATGTATTTGCTCGCTATTGCATCTGGGAATTTTTAGAGGCTACAATTCAGAGTTTAATTTAGCATATTTACATATAGATAGACTTGAAAGCAAATTTTCCTGGACCATGTAGAGAAATTTAAGTAACGCTTTGGCAAAACTATAGCATTCAAAGTTAGAAATGTATCTTTATATAAATATACTAATTAGGGGGGAAAGTATTTTTTTTTATTCCTCTAGTTACAGAAAATATTAGTAGGGAAATGACTCTGATTCTTTAGTTTAATCTTGTGTTCTGCAGAAGGCTGCATCTGTAGGTCAGTATTTATAAATATTAAATTTATAAATACTCTTCACATGGAGGCCCTATAACCTGATAGGTACTGTATTGAACTACAGCTTAAAGGTTTCTGAATTGCTTGCAGCAAGAGAAACTACCAAACCAAGGGCAAGTGTACTGATCACTTTGGCCATCTTTTTGATGGAAGTACCCATAATGCCGATTGTTTGTCAGAAAGCATGCTATTGTGGTATATAAAGCAGTTCAAATACACTATGAAAACCAAACTGACAGACCCTGGTAGCTCATTTTATTGCATAAGCTAATCAGTGCTTTGGTCCTCTGTGAAACCGGTAAAACAGAGGAATAAACCACCCAACTACAGAATGTTTTACACGCTGACAGTGCAACTCCTGTGCTCCTCTCCAAAGTGGACAAGGTCGGTGTAGCAGCAGGTAGCTGAATGGTCAGGGTGTGCAGTGTCAACGGTTTTTCACTTTTGCAAAATCTAGTTACAGAACAGACGTAATGCTCAGAATGTAAAGAGTGTAGTAATACTGGGATGTCATATCTAGCCAACTAAGTACTTCTCCAATGTCTTGCCCAGGCTGAGATTACAAACAACTTTGGCTGATGCATTAGCTGACTTTGTGGGATCTATCTTCCTCAAAGTAAATTAGAAAAAAAAGCTGATACGAAAGTACTTTAGTTAATATTGCAGTAAAATGGCTTTATTGTTTTCATTTTAATTACTCTAACTTACATGAAAAACCCCTGCTAAAGTAAATGGAAGAGTTGTTTTTGTTACTGACATCTCAGATGTATTTTTCTCCTCAAATTTCAAAACGGCATGATGACATTCCACTTAAGTATCTAAATGATACAGCAACAGAGCCCAATAAGTTAAGTAAAATTCTGCTGTTTCCTTTGCCAGTTAGGCAATATTAAATAGTTTAATAATTTTTGCCACAGGGAGTGTTTATAACTGTTGATCTCATTGCCTTTAAAAGGTAACATAAATAGGATTCTGTACCCTAGAATTTATTGCTTGATACAATCTTTGAATGTTTGAAAGGTGTATTTTAACAATTTTTGTACATATCTGAGTATCATATTGGACTATAAATGTACAGAGTCATTACCATTAAATATATATTTGCCTGACATAATCTGCCCAAAACATTCCTAAGAGTTCACTGAAAATGCTCTCTTAAAATTTACAGATACACTTTCGGCTCAGTGCAGCAAACCACATACTAGTGCTATGCTGACAGTTTCTGGATTATGAAAGCTTTTTTACCTTCAATAAATATTTGCCCATCTAAGTTAACCATTGTGTACGTTGGCATACAGTTTTTGTATATAAAACAAACACAATCACAGGACTTTGCAGATGTGTATTATCAGTGGTGCAATGGAAATATGGGTCTCCAGTAGAGAAAGGTAATTCTACATGGCATAACTTTTTTTTTTTTAATGTAATGCATGTGTATGTATTTTAGTTTATAGGCCTTATCTTGAACCTCAATTACAGGATTTACCATATGCTTCATCCATTATCTGTAACACAATTTGAAGGGGGGGAAGAGTTGTGATTTGGTTTTTTTTTAAACCTCATGGAAGTCAGAGTACTACAGAGTCAAAAATGTATTAGGTGTTTGTAATTTAGATGAGAAATTAACACACTTCCTTACTAAACTGATTTAATAATCAGATGAACTTGATTTTTAATTTTTTGACTTATAAGCCTAAGCATGAAGGAAAGTTGTTCATGACTAATGATTAACGAGTGCTTTCCTGTCAGCCATATATCAGATAGTATAGTGGAAAAGTTGCTGCTTCTATTTAATGTTATGTCCTTGATTTTTGATAAAGGGAACAGTTTCCTTTAATAGGTTCCTGCTGCTTTTCTGTGTTATGGATGATGGTCATTTATAGCAGAATAATGAAGAAAGAAGATCCAGAAAAGCTTATCTTAATTAAAAGTACTGATTTTAAGCATTTAATAGAATGAGAAGTGCTGCTTCTCATGCAAACCTATGAAGCTTTAATAGCTGCAAGGCTTCTAGTGCGAAGCTTAATGAGCAGTCTTTGCACAGATCTACCATCTTTCTGTACACATTCACACACAAGGCTTTCTTAAACTGATTTTTTCATCTGTAGAAAATTATATTTCTTCCCCTGTAGTAGCTGTCATTTGCCAAATGTGGAAATATTGTAGTAGAGCATCAGTACATAAAAAAAAAGAAAGGCAAAGTAGTCTAGCTTAGGCGTGTCCCATCTTCCTCACCTATAATTCACCTATGAAATGGCAGCGAACTACCACAGGCACGTCACATTTGAAGAGTGGAGGCAGAGGAGGGTCTGGGAGTGCTTCGTGGGTGGTAAATGATGTCACTTTCAGGGTATTACCCCTCTGTCGCACAGATGGGATGGGCAGGGCTTTAAGCTCTAGTGCAGCCTGACAATATTGACCTTAGCTCCTCCTAGAAGGTTTATTTCCCAGCCAATTGGGGGCTGGATTAGTAACCAGCCACCATGTTCGTACCATCCTGCTGCCAGTCAAGTAACGTACTGACACTGAACGCACACCTGAATTAATCTCAGCATTCGTGCTAAACTTGAGCAGACTGAATTATAATTCTGGTGTCTGCTTTGGTTTCTGGTGTCTTCCTAGGTATTTGGTTCCAGTGTGCCTCAGGGTCCCTAGTTCTCAAAACAAAATTACCAGGACCATGTTGAAGTATACATGAGCATTCAGGAATGCCTAAAGAAGCACTTAAAGAAGAGTTGTATTGTTAGAACAGTACAATATTCAAGTAACATAGTATTTCCTAAAATGACATAGTGGTCACTATAATTCCCCTTTTTTTTGTTTCTCATATTTCTAATTATCCAAAGTTAGTATTTTTTTTTTATGTATACACCTGCAAATTCCCTATAGCTGTCAGAACCACTCAGGACAAAACTTGCTAATAAGGTGGGTGGGTTATAAAATTAAGAAGAGCTTAAAACAATTTCTGATCTTAAGTTATGTGTATGTGAAATTACAGAAACCAGTAATACTGCTATACTACTGGTAAACAGTTCTAATAATCATGCATAAAATTCTGGTTAATCTTTATCCATAGTACAGATGGGCCCACTTCTGTTACTTAAGCAGTGTTCCAATTTCCAGGATATGAGAAATTATATACTGGCCTTTCTCTTGTTTGTCTGTGGAAAATATGTGAAGAAGGCTCTTGATCCATAGATAGCTCTTGGAAACCTAGCCCCTTACAATCTCTCTGAGATCACTGGGAAGTTCAGCCCAGTCTGTCCAATGTCAGCTTAGAGCTACAGATGCCTTCTCTCTTTTATGGTAAACGGTAGTGCATCCACAGGCTGAGCTGCATGCTTAGATCTAGGTTGCACGGTTTTAAATGCAACATCAGGGGCAAAACAATACTTGGGTCCCTGAGACCACACGTAACAGATTTAGGATAGCCTGTAACAGACCCTCGAGTGGCTGCACCGATCTGGGAGTATCCCAGTGTACAGGGCTCCAGCCATGCTGCTGTCCCACCATGTGGGTGTTGAGGAAAGTATCCAAACGGGGCACGCTTTGGCAGCACGCTCGGTAGGGACTTGAAGCCCCGGCTACGACAGCAAGCCACTGGGAAGAACAGGCAGCGTATTCTCTGGGGAGTGCTTACGGTAATTATGCGCTGCCACTGCAGCAACACAGCAAATACTAACTTGTTTCACCAAGCTCAGTGAAAGCATTCTAGTAAGGTGAAGAAGATTTGGGTAACTAGGATCTTGAAGGTGAAGATTTGGGTAACTAGGATCTCGATTTGCACACAGAAAACATAACTGGCTTCCTGCGACCTCCCTTTTTCTTTCCTTGAAGAGGATCTCGGAGGTAATATAACAGAAAGGACTGCCCTTGTTTTCAAGCCTTTAATCAAAAGCTTTCTCGAGAGCTTAAGTTGCATCCTTAGTAACCGCTACAGAGATGACGAGCAGTGGAATAGGAAGCCATTGTCTATAAATTTTGATGATAGCAACAGAAGCACTTCCATAGTTCCACAGAAACAACTGCGAACACAGTTGAAGTATGCAGAAATTTTACTGAGTTTGACCATTTAATTTTAAAAAGTCCTTCGTTTTTTTCATGAAACATGAAAATATATGCATCTGGTGCTAAGCAAAGCACTTCCATCTGAGTAAAAGTATATCTGACTCTTTAATTACTAGTGTGCCAAAGGAAGGGCTCGAAGCCCAAAGTTAAAACATTTACAGCCCACTTGAGCAAATTCTACCAGACATCCTCAAAACTGCAGTGCAGTTCTATGCTTTTATTCCAGCCCATCCTGTAACCTTTCGTAAGGATTCTAATGAAATAATTGCTGCTGAAAGCTTAAAATACTAGACCAGCTTCCTTACTGTGCAAGTTGATGCTTTTATACTGCAGTCAGCAGTGAATTCCTGACGTCAAAATTATCGAAGAAGGGCTATCATAAAAACTGAATAGAAGAAGTATCAGTAACAGAGTATCTATTTCTGCAAAAATGGAAGAAAACATTTTTAAAAGCTAGATAATTGTTTAATACTGAGAATTGCAGAAGTTAGACCTAGTAGATCATATGTGATTTACAAGGGAATGTAAGTTGCAAACCAGTTGCTAAACATATGGAAAAGAGCAGAACTTGGCATAGTTTTATTAGATGCCAGTGTGATAGTATTATAACAGTATAACTGCTTAGACAATTATTTTGTTGTTAAAGGGAATGGGACCTTTGTTTAGATGGCTGCAAAAGACAACGTAGCATGAGATATCAGAGTAAGGCAGTTGCTTCAGCCTATCTTTGAAGAATAAGCAAAACAGCTCAGTCTCACTAGCTTCTGGTGTACAGATTTACTTTAATATGAGACACGGCAAAATACATAGTAGTACCCTAGAATGGGTTTGGGAGGACTAGTTCATCTAGTCATTGCAGTGTTAGAGTAAAAATGTCTATCACTGCCAATATCTATCATTACCAAAATAATCTGAAATATTATAGTCCCTGAGTTTGATGTTTTTTCAGTTGTCTTCACTAGAATCTGAAAGCCATAAGCTGCAGTTTACTCGGAACAGAAAGCTGTGTTAAAATGTCAGAAGTATTGTCTATATTTTTTCATGGAAATGCTGAAGGTGTGAATATAAATCTTGTGAATTATGACACCCAGAATAACTTTAATGTATTCGGGTTTTTTGTTTGTTTTTATTTGGAGGGAAAGGAGCTTAGTAGGTATGGGGTTTTTTTAAACCAAATGCCAAGTCTTTGGAACAGTTTTCAGTGGCTTGAACTGGAATGTTTTTGCCAACAAAAGTTTGAAAATACACTTCACTATTGAAGAGAGATATACCTTTTAAAGCAGTGTGCAGCAGTGAGGACCCAGCAGCTGCTGATGAGGGTAGCACCACACAAGAGTCTTCCATCACCATGAGAAGATTTCAGTCGGAGTGCAACCTGCCACGGCCAGCCACCCCTACAGAGAACGTGAGACACTGTGTTCAGGGTACAACAGCGGGAAAGTAAGGTAGCTTGCCAGTTACCTTGTGAATGTAAATCCTATTTAGTTTCTTTGACTGACACAGCTTGAAAAATGTGTTATTTACTGAGTAACAGTTGAGAACACCTTTATATTCCTACAGCAGTCAGAATTCCATTTAACAATGGTCAGGGTTACTTTACGGATCGTTTGGGCAACCAGCACTCTGAGCACTTCCTCCCACTGTCAATTATTTTAATTGTTCCTTCTCAGATTGCATTCATTATGCCAAAAACACATTCTATGGATTCCTCACCAAATACCATCCAAGTCAGCAGACCAAAAATTTCCTGCCAACTGGAAATGCAAAAGGAGGGAATTTCTTGAAAAGCTTAACCCAGTATCCTTTCCTGTCTCTGGTATCTTTGTCAGTTCTGAGCTGTTTGAAAGGGGAACCTGGCAAACCAAGAGGTCTAAAGCAACTGTAGAAACCACAAGTAATAGATTCGCACCTTTTTTCAGCCTGTGATCATCTATTTTGTATAGTAGATCTGGGATACATATTTGAAGGCAGGATGGATTATTTTTCACCAGTTTAATAGATTAGCAAAATATGAGATCAGAGAGAAGGGAGAGGGAGAAAGAGGCACCTATAAGCAACAGCAACATCCAAGAATAAGCAAGAGATAGGCTTAGGTGTTTTCTGACTACTATCAGCTTGACTAGGTAGGCTGGAGTACAAGAGCTGCCCAGGATGATCTAGTCCAGCATCCTATCTCAGAGCTGCCCGTGCCAAATACATGTCTTAGGAGCTTTATATTTGAAATGACTTGTCTTTATCAAATATTTACCGTAAAGAATTTTTCCCACCAATTATTCGCTTTTGTCGACGATGTAGTAACCTCAGTCCACAAACAGAAGAGAGAGAATCTAAACCAGAAAGGGAGATGTAGACAGCATTAAGCTCCAGATGAAAAGTTGCCAGTCTTCAGTGAGAATTAACTAAAAAAAAACCTATGAAGGCTAAAGTTATTCTGTGTTTCATGGTAGTTTTTAACAACCACATTTTGCTTGGGGGAAAATGCACTCAATTTTCTCAGACTTAAATCCTTTTTAGCTGAGTTCTTTTGACTGTGATGGCAGAGCAATTTACACATCTGTGCTCTGCTTCTCAAGTGTAGAATTTTTTTGTAGAGTTATTCCTTACTTCATGTAAGTGGAAGCAGAGCTTCCCATACCACATAGGTCTCAGTCCACAGCAGAAGATAACCTATACCTTGGAAAGCTGAAAGTAGCTGTCTAAGTTTGTGCATTTTCATGTCCCTCGTACAACTTAGGAAACATGGCTGCTGTAAACTATGGTAGGCAAATACCCATTGTCATTTGAATAGTCTTTATGAGTCCTTTGCACAGCTGGCACAGCAATAAGACCCACCCAGTGTAAGCAGAGAGGATTTCCCTCCACTTCTGTTTCTACAAATCTTTTGATACGACTGTTTCCTCTGTGAGGTGGGATTGCTTATTGCTTACGTCCGTCTCTTCCTACCGTGACACTTCCCCATCCAAACCTGCTGGTCTGCCACTCACAACGGGGCTTCACCTTTATTGCTGTTCCCGGGGGCCTTCTTGCTTAGGTGGTCACAGATCACCCCCGCGTCCTCGCTGTGACGGCAGTTGTGCGTCCCAATGTCCTGCTTGATGCAGTCTGCCAAGGATCTCTCATTTCCTGTACACTTCACGTTGTCCACGTGGATTGGGCCTTTGCCCTCCCCAAAATATGCCATTGTCCTTGCTCTAGACAGACCTCTGGAACAGATCATATTTTTTTGTATTAAATGTTTTGAGGCATTAGTCTAAATTTTACTCAGCTGAAATATTTCAGAGTGAGTAGTGAAAGACACTGAAGTTTTCTTCAGAGTCTTGTCATTGATTTACTTGATGACAACTTTGGTAGGTATGAAAAAAAAAAAAAAGTGTAACAAAATTGCTACAGTTTATTAATGTATAAAAAGTCCTTTCCTGTATCTAGTTAGACGGCCCTATGCAAAGTATTTTACATTGTAACAGCATTATAAATACCTATAAAGTGAAATATGTGAAAGCTGCTTTTTCATAATCTCTTTAATCCCCATACAAAATCAGCATCTGTGAATGCTAAAAATAATTTGTTCTGGTCTGATTCCCTCAGAAATATGATCCAGTTAAATACAGTATACTTGCAGTGTAGTAGGAGCTACAATTTACAGATCTAGAGTTGTTAATAGTTACTAACATATTTTGTTATCATGCCATTTTTAAAGCGTGCCCCACAGTTGAGTTCTAAAACTGCAATGTATTGGAGAAAGACTGAACCCAGTTCAGTCTCAGCACCCTCCTTTCCCTGGAAGAGCCCCTCTGCTTAGTGCTTCTGTAGCATTTTCATACATCAGCCTCAAGGCACTTTACAAAGAAGGTCAGTATGATAATCCTGTGCTTGTGTGAGGATAAGTATCATACCTAAGTATTTGAATGTCAGACTTAGGACATTTTATTAGGGTTGGAAGTCCTGATCCTTATAGCTTGTATGGAGTGCCGTGCAGCTTCAGCAATGACCACCACAGTGTCAGTTGTGTAAATGACCTCTTTTGAATGCTGAGCTTTTTTCCCAAATGAGGGAGTGGATGAACAATCACAATAAAAAAAACAACATGACTTGTGCATGTAAGCATCTCATTTGGATATATTTTTACTTTTAAATACTTAGGATAATGCTTCTTAATAATAATAAAAAAAAAAAATCAATGTTTTGTTGTTTAATTCAGAAAGAATTATGAGTGGGAGACCACACAACCAACTACACAGAGAAGTGGGGCAGGAAGCCACAGCCGCTTCTAGGTGTGTCTGAAATACAAGTTTACATATCAGTTAAGAGCAATTTACTGTTATTTTATTGTGATAGGAATATACTGAATACTAGATAACTAAAATGCTGCACCATTTAATAGGTTTACATTTCAAAGGATAAGTTATAATTGCATGTTGTAAAGGACAGTACTTCTATGTACACAAAAGAGTAACTGCATGTACAATGAAATGCTGGAGTAGAGAAAGAGAGTTTAACAATGAAACCATTATTAGGCAAGAAAGTATTTATCTCCCTTTACACCACTGTTTATACCTTTTTTAATACCTGCAGTGTTGGGGGGGATAGGTAAGAATGGCATCAAGAGTTTATGCCCCTTCATCAGCTAGGGATTCTCTGTCGGGGAGGAATTTTGATTAGTCATATCGTTTTCAAAGCTTTGTCATACTAGAAGTGTGGCTGGATCAGCTTGAAAGAATCCAGCCATCAATTGCCCATATCCATATAACTGAAACATTAAAGTAATACATACAAGCTTCCTCCTTTTTCAAACTTGTACGTGGAAAGCCTTGTCTATTTGGATATTTTTACTACATATGGAAAGGGAGGCGGACAGGTTTGCTAAGTAGGGAATGTTGGTTTGAATGCAGGAAAGAGAAACATGTAAAACATCTGACAGAGATGAAACCAAAAGGTCAGTTGTCCTTACACATTTTTAATTTCCATGGCTGGTGTGTATTTACCAGATAATCCAAAGCCTTAACTGACTTTGGAACTGGTATAGGACAATCTTTGCCTAATGAGTTTAGTATGATTTAACTTGTCAGTCACAAGCAGTGTGTCTCTTCTTGCTCCACATATTTTTCTTTTGTGAATGGTACTCTGATTACAGATAACTACTAAAAAAAAAAGTCCTGCTCTCCAGTGCCTGTGGGCAGCTGATGTGTCCGTGTATGCTATTACAAAACAGACAGTACAGGCAGTTGTTGCAAATTCTTAACTGGTTTTGGTATCTCTGTGTCAAAACCCAAAGTTTCTGTTTTAGGGCATTGCTCTAAAGTTCCTCAGGATATTGAAAACTACTTTGTTGTGAATCACCACAGTATTCTTAGCCTTTCCCAGAGAAGTATTTATTGCAGTTCAGCATAGAATTGTCGCCGCAGACTCTTACTGGCTGCTTAATAAGGGCACTGTCTCCATTGGCTTGCCAGATAAATCTGAGAGAATACTCTGACATCTTTGAGGTCGCATGTGTAAATATTTTAGGTGAAAGATATGTAGAGAGACGAAGATGAAGGAGGGAACTCAGTGCATATGGGTTGCAATCATGCATTGACATGAACGGACTCATGGGACTTGGACTGCAGAGACTCTTCATACCTTTATATGAAAGCTGTCTATCTCTTACTGTGCATCAGTAATATCTCAAGTTTGCTGCTAATTCCTATGAAAAGTGTGTTCGTGCCCACTCCTAACCAAAAAAACCCCACTGTTTAAACAGAACATCTACCAGGAAACAACTGTAAAAATCATGATGATCTAGAGCAAGGAGTGCAGCTTAATAGAGAAATTATTTCATATAATTGGGAGATCTCTAAACATAAAAGTTTTGTTTCATATGTTTGTTATGTGCTGGAATGTGCTCTTACAACTGGTGTCAGTCCACCCTTAAACGTGTGTGTCCCTTAATTACCATTTCCCAAGCCAGCTATCTATGCACAGATGACCATCAAAGAAACAACCTTTTTGCTTGCTCAGGACTGTCCCTAGAGAGAAGGGCAGCTTCAGGACTTATCCCCTAGCTTTTCTCAGACATAAGGCCACACACAACAACATGCCCAGCTCTTCAGATGCAGTATTATTATTCATAATACTGTTAATCAGGAAATCCAGTTGATTAGTATAGATGACCAACTACCCTAGAATTTTTCTTTTCCTTTCATGTAGTTGATACTTTGGAGCACTAATGGCAGGATATTTATTCATTTGTGGTGTATGTGTGTGTGTTTGTGTGTATGTGTGTGTGTGCGTGCACGTGCATTTTTATAAGCCTGTCCTAAATGAAAGTGGTCCAGTTTTACTGGGCCACTTAATTCATTAAAATGCAAGAGCTTCTAAAACTGTCTTTTGGTCTTTACTCATCGTATCAAAATACTTTTGTATGTTAAACCCAATCACATATTAGATAGTACTTAAGAAGAGGCATGTGTTCTCTCAGTGTTTATCTTGCTAGAAATATACTTTGATCAGGGTGCTATTAATTATTTTTATGTTTTCATGACTGGCTTTAGCTAGGTAGTAGAGCTGTTTTCTAATGTTATTTAAATTATGTTTTCCTAACATTAATCATGGATTTGACAAACCGGCTTAATGGGACATCTTTAAAACTAGTATTGATTTGAACCTAGTGATTTTGCCAACTCTTACTTGCCAATTTTCTTACTTCAGTCTTAGAATGAACCCTAGTAAATGGGTAAGAATGTTCCAAAGCAGGATTTCATAAAATAAATGTACAGATAAGCACTGACAATATGAATAATATATGCAGGAAAAACTCGGTCCATTTTCTCAGTGTTTACCCTTTGCTTATGCAAGTCTTCCTTTTTAAGGCAGTCTTTTCTCCCATTTGTAATAATAAAGGTGTGAATTTATTTTCCCTCCCCTGTAGGAAAGACCTGAGAATTAAACATAGCATTGTAAAGGGAGTTGAATGACAGTGTTTAGTTCTGTCATCAGTCTTAATGAAAACTGATGTCAACTTCACTTAGGTGCTTTTTGAGTTCCTCCCAGGAAAAGGCCATAATGTGTTTATTTCTAAAGAAACAACATTCATCAACCCTCAGGCTCAGGTACATGAACCCAGAAGGCCCAGCCATGCTTTGAAACAGTCAAGTCACCACTGAATATAATCTGAACTTCAGCAAAAAGATCTGTGCTCGATCTCCTAGACTCAGAAGCAATTCCAGCTCATCAGTGCTTGTAATGGCCCAGTCAGGTTTGTGGAATGCAACTGTCTAGACATAGGGTCACCAAGATACAGCATTTCCAACACACTCTCCCAATTTCTGGAACCTAATTTTAGATTTCTAAAATGCTTCTATCCCTAGTCCTTCAGGAAACATGTGCTCTGTTATATCCTATAATCTTAACCCCTCCATTCTGACATGACACAAACTGAGAATCCAGCCAACTGTCTGTCGTTGCAGAGATTTAAAAACAGAAGGTGGGGATAAGTGGTTGAGTTTGATCATCTGAGGGAGACATAAAACACCAGAGAGGCTGAGGGTGAAGCAGATTCAGTGGGAGATAATAAAGTGAAGTTTTGTTGTTTTGAAGCCATATTCTACTACTACCTATAAATATGCTTTACTAAACAAATACCAGACAATGCTTAAAAGGCATATATTATGTGTTCAGACATAATTTGAAGACACTTGGTTGCACAAACTTTACATTGTTAGATACAGCAAAAAGATAACATGATTTGTATTTCTTAAGCTCAGATTTATTTACAGATACACTCAGAGAAGGTATTTCACTATTTTTCTGTTGTATTTCACTAGTGTTCTGGATATTTTTCAGCTCATATTAGTTCTGCTATTTATATGTCTGCCCTATAGTTGTTATATCCTTACTTATCTTAGGTATCTAGAAAAAAATTGCTTATGAGTGATGTAAACCTGATTAAGCAACTTGGTTCAAAAGTGACATATATGCATTGTGGTAGTTTTAATTAGAAAGTGTTTTTATCCTGTCAGGTTTATTCCTATATTAAATGAAGCTTATTCAAATTTCTGTCATCCAGGCCAAAGCCCTAATCCTTTGTGTAACAGTTTTATCAAATCTCCAAGCTACGTTAAGTCAAGTCAGATCAGTACATGCAGGAAAAACCCCATGAACCTAGGAATTCATAGCTGGTGCACCTACATCTGAATGTGCAGAAACTGTATCCGCACCTTGTGACAGTGGACACTGACCTGTTGCTATATTTCACGAAAAAAAAATTGTTAGAACCAATACAGACTTCAAAGTCATTAAGGTTCACCAAAGATAAGTATTAACAATATGCAAAATTATACCTTTCAATGAAAACAGAACAAGAACTCTTTACAAAAATAGAACCATTACCACTTGAAATTTTAGCTAAATTCCAGACAATTTCAGTAAACAAAGCGAAGAATCTACATAGTTCACAGAACATGTAATCACCTGTGCTATTCTAGATTTAATATTAGTTTCCCTCATTTTTTCCAAAGCAGAAATTTCACTCTAACTTTTAAAAAATGTTTATAAATCTGAAAACAGAAGATGAAAGAAGTAAATTAAGAACAGTTCGAGTGGCAAAGAGCACAGAGCAGATACACTAAATCAAATTACCTTCTTAGTTGCATTAGCGCAACTAAGTTTAACAAAATTAAAATAAAAAGTTGATGTAATATATTTATATCCTGTGGACATGTAGAACCATAAGTGACAAATAAAACATAGCATCAGTCAATAGCTTAGTAATTTATAATATTTAACTTCTAAATAATATTTAATAACTGGCATTAACTCCCATTTCAGTTGCCAGCCAGACTATGATATGCCTTTGAATATTAAAATTCCTTTTCCCAATTATGCTAGTTAATGAATACTCCTTTTGATGACATAGCCTTACTAATTCTTATACAAATAGTATAAATACACTTTTCTTAAAAAATGCCAAACAGACAAGTTTTAAAAGGCATGTATTATGTTATCAGACATGTTGGTGATACTTGGTTGCAGAAACTTAACATTTTTAGATACAGCAAACAGGTAACTTGAGAAACAGCTTAATCAGTTTTCTTACTTGTAGCCAAGCTGTCGACAGACTACAGCTGCATCCTTATCAGACCATCCATCATCACAAATTGTGCCCCACTGGCCATTGATAAAAATCTCTACACGTCCTTCCTTCTTATTCTCACCATCCATCAGCCTGATGGGAGGACCTGGGAATAAATTACTGCTGTCAGCTCACAACAACAGAACCAAGAATTTGCACTTCAAGTCATTTTCATCACATTCAGTATATAGGGTCAACTGACGTGTATGTTCAACAAGCCTCGTATCAGCTGTTAAAGTAGTCATATTTTTCCTGGCTGGCAAAAGGGAAGAGTCTGTACAAATTACAAGACAAATACTAAATACTACTGTATTTTGAACTTCAGAGTTCATCTGGTTCCTTCGTTTCATACGAATGTGTGACACAGCTCAGAATTTGACCACAGTGGGCACAGAACAATTCTCCCCCTAAAGGCAGAAAACACCAGAGATATCTGTGATAGGATATCCTATACAAGCTGGACACATTTTCCTTGCAGAAATATTATGGGTGAATTTAATTATATCCCAATTCAGAAATCCATTTTCAAACTGGTTGCTACCACTCAACCTCAATCTCGGAAAAAAAGTGCAGCACTGTGTTGAACTTCAGTTACTTGTTATGCACAGTGTCCTATAGCATATTTTGTGTGACAGCATAATGTTCTACAGCATGTTATTCTAGACTAATGCATGATTATTTTTCTAGCAATTTAAATTGATTGCTTATTCAGCATTAAATTGATTTAAATTAAATTAATTAAATTGATTGCTTATATTATTATGTTCATAATATAAAATCTCACTTATGTGGATTAGTCAGATTTAATTAATCATGGTTCATTCGGTGCTTGGCCTCTAGCTAAATTATTAATCATTACGCAAAGTACATACTCGATTCTCACTTGCGTTAAAACTCCTTTGTAGCATGTAAGTAGACTTAAAACAGTTATTAATTCCTCTGAGGCCTCTTTATAATGTTTAAGTGAGAATCACCTTCTAAATCTTTTAGTATGTCACACTTTGTAATCCTTAATACACCAGTGAGAGTTTCTTTTTAGAATAATTGGAAAGACTGTCAGTCTTCTAACCTGTTCCTAATCTTTTCTAAATCCGTAAGAATGAGAAATTACTTAATTATGATCTTAAATAAAGCAGTATTTTGAGACATTTGTATTTGATATTTAATTCAGATCCATTTAGGGTATGAATAACTTCTGTATACCAAATCTTACTTTGGACCAGAGCTAGTTAAATCTGGTCTAATTCATTAATTAAAAGAGGAAAGATTTGTAAACAAAATTAAAGTCTGTTTGCTTCAAATGTAATTTAAATCATATTGTTTATACTGCAGTTCATACTGTCTGGACAGTTACATGAATTACCTTCACCAACTTTCTGTTTAGCTATATTGTCATGATCTTACGTACTAAATAAATGTTGTAGTTATTGTAGTGTGTTCTATCTCATTTTTAGTGTTCATGTCTGTATTTCTTCAAGTCATATCATCTACTAATTTCTCATATTTTTCCACTGAGTTCAGCCTCGCAGGGAGAAAAATTACTTTTTCAAATGCTGGGAAGTAAACGGTAACAATAGAGTCTTTGTCCACTTTCCAATCTGAAATCTTGTAGGAAATGTCTTTTTTCCTTGTTGAGATGATGTGTTATTCTGGAAGAATATGATTTAGGGAAAAATAATATCACCCAGCTAGAGACATGGGTTATTAATGATACAGTATAGCTGTTTTATTGTTATCTCATCTTCTTGTGTTTTAGAAAATATATATATGAGCACAAAATTAATATAACTTTCTGGGAATGAGGAATGTGAGAATGTTACCATATGGATGCGTTTAACTGAAGCAGACCTCCTTCAGCTAAGATTGTATTTTATGGGAGTTTGAGCAAAGCACCACATATGGTTTGCATCTGCACAGACAGCAGTCATGATCTGAATACCTGTTATTTTTGGTTTGAGAAAATACTTTCTAGCAAATATGGTTTGACATCATCTACACATAATGGAACTGTACTACAACATAAAACACTGGATTGTGAGAGGTCGAAAGGCTATAAAGACTGTAAGGAGGGAGAGACTAGAGAAGTACTTGTGGAAGTGCTGATTGCAGTTTCAACAGGTAGCAATTCTGTGCAGTAAATCCATGTCTTAGTTTGCAGGACAGACCTTCAGTCTTTTTCAGAGAACTTTAGGCACCCAGGCATACAAATCCATTAGATTTCAGTAGAAACTGTGAATCTAACTCCACTAGTTTTAATTCTAATTTCAAAATTGACTAAAATATACTTGGGTAAACTTAAGAATACTGGCAGCAATTTTGTAAAAGGTTACCTACTGACAAGCTACAAACTTTGTATGTAGCAAATTTTAAAAATGAAACCGTTTTTCAGCATTGCTGAGTGAGCCATTGTTCCCCTGTAATTTTTACTGTGCATATCTGATAGCCAGAATTCTTGTTTAATTATCTACATGTGGATTTAGGACTCTTTGGAATTCATTTGTATATATTTTGTACTATGATGCCACTGTGTAATTAGTATTTTTCTCTCTTTTTTTTTTTTCTTATGTGTCTTTTTATTCTTTTTTCATGCAAATTTGTAGGCTTTCTGACATTGGAACTGGCTCTTTGATCTGTGTTTATAGTATCATGCTGTCCTGGTCAGCAACTGGGGCCCATTTACCCAGGCACAATGTAAATGATATGCAATAGTAATACAGAAATAATTTCATGCTTCTCACCCTTACTTTTTGGAATCCTTCAACTTTCCTCTATATCTCTTTTTTTCAGATTGTCTGAATGTAAGGCCGTAGGAGGATGTACTATTTGTTTATATTCCTCAATGTTCAGTGTTCAGCTTTTGATAGCATGAGACAGTTACTTAAAACTTGGGGAGTGCTGAGTGAAATGCAGTATACCATTAGGAAGTGCTGATTAGGTCTAAAATTTGGTGGAAACTGAGAGAACAGGATCTCTGGAATCCGGCTTTGTTACCTTACAAATTTGTGTTGATCTTGAATGTTCTGGCTGCTTATGTTCCTTTAAACAAAGCTTGATTACTCCCTCTGATCTTCAGGAGAAAAGTGAGCTTTTTTCCCCCTTCCTGTTCCTTCTCTGCACACATCTGCCAAATGTTAAGATTTTGAGGTGTACTGTACTTTGCTCGGATCTGCACCCACTGTAATACTCCTGTGACATTCCCACAGAGATTCCTTACCAAGTGAGAGTTTATGGCTGTCGTTATCTGGATGGCAAATGAGTCTGACATCCTCCTGATGGTTGCAGTCATGCTTTCCCCACTCTTTCCTTAAGCACTGCAGAAGGTTTGTCTCCTTCCCTGAGCAGCTGACATCATCCAGCCAGATGGGCCCAGAGCTTCCTTCTGAGTAGCTCTCAGGTGCACTTTTTCCATACCTGCATAACATACATGTAAACATAACATTTTGGTTCACAGCAATCAGAGGGCAGGTGGTACTTAAGCACTAGAAAGGAAATAAATTTTTTCTGAAGAAATAATGGTTTCTCAGGTAATAACAGTAAATTGTGTTAACAATGACAGAACAGGTTGAGTTAGCATTAAATTCAATAAGAGCACTATAATAAGAGCACTGCTGCTTTGGTAATGATGTTTTAAGGAATTACTGTAACATTAATACTAACTTGAGAATGTAATGCCTTTGATTAAGGCCTCCTTTCAACCAAGTATATGTATGTCTCACTGCCTCTGAGACTTGAAGTTGTTCTTAGTGCTACGTATACATTTAAATGTCACAGTCTGGGGAAAAATGAGACAACATTCTTTTTTGAATGGACAGATTATAATCTGAAGGCAAGACAACAGTCACCTAGTGAGAGTGTGTCTTTGTGGCCACAGTCAGTAGGAAAAGTAGCGAAGAGTGAATGCATGACACTCTAATGGGATTTTTTTCTAAAATACGCTTTTCAATACATAGCAGTGTTCCAGAGCCAGACTGTGGGCTTTTCTGAGCTAGATCCAGGAGGGCTCATACCTTGAAAATGTCCGTGATTTTTAATGACTGTTCAACAAGCAAGGATTTTGAAGAATCAAACTTTTATAGGCAGAGTACAGCAAATCAGTTTTTCTCTGTGGCATATGCATTAATCTCAGTTAGCCAAAAAGGTGTTTGGAAAGAACTCAGTGAATAAAGGCTGCTGAATCACAACCTCAGTTGAAGCTTTTTTTTCTATCTAAACTGAGGCCATAGATATCTCTTTGAGACTGAGGGAAGTGGGCTTTAATGGATTTCAACTCAGTAGTTTCTATGAAGCACTCAGCTAATATTAAAAAAACAGACTCTTGAATAATGTAGGTTCATGTAAATGCCATCATTGTGAAGTCAAAGAGTCAGATATCTACTATCAAGTAATCTTACTTAAATCCCAGCTGCCGGCAAACGACCTGTGTATTCAGCTCTGTCCACCCATCATCGCAGATTGTGCCCCACTGCCCAGTGTAATAGACCTCCAGGCGTCCCTCATGACTGCCTTTCCCACTTGTTAGTCTTAATGCACCATCTGTGTCGTTAACAAGTAAGGAAAAACAAAAAGAAGAATCAGTTTTTCTTTGGTCCAATTATTGTTCTAAAACGAAACAAATAGCATTGCGTTTACTGCATTTGACCAGAATATTAGACTACTAAATCTAGTGCTGATTACTAGGTGTTATTTAACGAGAAGATGAAAGAAATGCCAGAATGCACCCGGCCAGCTGTGGAGTGTTGCATAATGCAGTTGCTTAAGTGCAAGAGAAATAGCACAAGATATTGATCCCCCAATGCCAAGTCTGCGGGAGTGGGCTCCAATTACATGATTTCACTGTATACACACCTTATCCTTGTATACTCTGTTATTTCCCATTGCTTTTATGCTGACATGCTTACTGCCGGTGTTAGATGTGATACACAGTGAAGGCATGCCCCACACAGAAAGTGGCAGTTAGCATGTTACTAAGGAACCAGGGCTTTGTGGTGAATAATGAGACTTTCTGTACCTGTACAATTTCCATAGCCAACAGCTGGTTCATTTTGATACTGCCAAAACATTTTATTACGGGGCAGGGGGAGCGGTTTGCGCAGCTGCAAACTTTAAAAACTCTCTTTGCAGAGCTGTGAACTCTGCATTTGTTACTGTTTTGCTGTGTGATTATTGCTCATTGAAGTACCTGTGAGTGGCGTGCAGGAAACACCAGCATCTTCTTTGTGGCCACAGTTGTGTTCTCGCCAGGAGCTTTTTGGGCACTGTTCTATCGATAGTTCATTTCCCGTGCACCGCACCTCATCCAGCATCACAGGGCCTGAGCCTTCTCCAAAGTAAGCCTGGCTCCATGCCTTGGCAAGACCGCTGTCAAAATATAACAAGCGCCCAGTCAGGCCCAAACAAGCTGAAGAGTCCAGGACTGGGCAGGAAGAGCTACAGCATATCCAGCTTCTGAAATAGCAGCTGGGACTGCCTGAACAGCCGCTGCACTGGAGAGTGACAGTGCAACCCACACAAAGTTATGCACACCATGAGGTTCCACAGACAACTTCAGGCTCCGCTGAGGCTATGGAGCGACTTAAGCATAACCATTTCCACACTTCCATGGTTTGAACGTATTTAAAACATCCATTTCTATTGTTTTCTATCTACAAGATTTTCCTTTTCTGTCCCTTTTGATTTTTAAGCATAACTTCCCTAGAAGAGATTATAGATCTGCAGCTTGGGTATGACGATTCTAATTTTAATTTCAATTTAATGTTTTTATGTAGTAAAAATAATCCGGTATGTATTTCTACAGTGACTTTCATCTTTTGACCTCAAAGCTCATTAATCAAACCTCACATACCCAGATGAGGCAGATAAAAGTGATTGTTACCCAGTTAGTCATGTGAAATCTATGGCAAAGAGATCCTAAGTGACTTGACAACGTCATACCACCGATCAGTGGTAGAAATAAGAACAGAAAGCAGACCAATGACAAGCCCTGTGTGTGTTATACTCTGTGTGAGCACAGAGGATTTTGAGCACAAAAATCTGCATAAATTGAAAATGCTCCATCGTTTAAGCATTACAGAAATTACGCAGTGTTTAACACCTGATGATCTATCAGGATTTTTCCAATTCTGTTTAAGATACCATGTCTTTCATATGTGAATGTTTTTCATGGTTTGGCTTCTTTCCACTCAGTAGTTTCTCTGTTCATATATCCAGTCTAGTTTTTGTAGGAGTAGTCTCAGTATCTCTCTTCTTTTTCAACTTGTAAGACTGAAATGCCCATCTAAATTTTTTACTGTAATGAATTACCTATCTAAAGGATTAGTTTAAATTAATTAACATACAGTTTGGGTGCAGGGCTCTATATTAATTATTAATTATTGATTTGTTTTAAAGAGAGTTTTCCACTACCAGCCATAAATTGTCACATGGAATGGTATGTTCAGCTTATACTGAAAACATGACAGGTCTTGACTATTTTGTTTCAGGATGTAATCATTCAAACTCTTAACTGGCTTTTGAGACCGTGTGTCAGAACAGTACACTACTGTGATTATTTTTTTTTAAATGTAAATTGCGGTAGTTCGTGGTTTCAAGGTAACGACTCACTAATCCATATATAGATAGACGTGAATTTCATTTTTAGTGCTTTGTATAAATACAGAACAATCTCTGTTTTTTTTTTTTAAAGGAAAACAATACTAGATTTACAATTAGCAATACAAATTCTTCATAAACAGTAAAGGGGCATGGGAAAAATAACAGTAAGAGTCTTATAAAAATTAAATTAGGATCAGGAAAAGGTTCTATAAAAAGGAAAGATGTGGAAATTCACGGTATACGCTGTGTAGATGGTAGCACTCAGTAAATCAAAGCACATACAGTCTGTGTTTTGCATTTTCATTTTGTTTAAAATCAAATTGGTTTTCATATTTTCAAGCTAGTGTGCTTCATTAATCCTGAAAATGCACTGTTAATTTTCAGACTGTATCTTTGACGACCAGATGCCTTCTTCAAGTGATGGAGAACATGGAAAATATCAAAAAGCAGGTCTTGTTTACCTTTTCTTCCGAATGACTTTTTACTATTCTTTCATTTAGTTTGTTAAGTAACCATGCATTTTTATAGGTAGCATTAATTTACTGAACACTTGTATTTTGCAATGCTGTTAATAGGAAAAAGAGCCAAATCCTCCATCTCTTATATTTCATAAAGAGTTGCTTTTTGAACTGGATGGAATTGTGAACAACTGTATAGTAAACTAAGAAAATATAATCCACAGCATACACTGAGGATAGTACTTATTTCAAATCCAGATATCCCATTTATATTTAAGCATTTAAATAAGCAAAAATTTCTTGGTTTTCCAGTGTATCTTTCTGATGTACCAAAATAGTCTCTGTGAGTTCTCAGCACTTCAGGCTATTTTTGTAGAATTAAATAAATATGGACTGAAGAGCCTACTTTCGGGATACTTATTTTTATTAATATTACTCTAAATATATTATAGGCTTATTACAGAAAGCCTGGTTTACTGGTAGTTTTTACGATGATTGTACTTTGGAACACTTATATGTATAAGATAAATTATTTTCATTTAAGTTTACTGTGTAATATTTTCATATATACAAACTGTATACAAAAAGAAAATTCTTGTACATAGCTTCTGTTTCTTGTATTTTTTGAATGCTGATGCTGGTAGAAATGTATAGAAAATGTTAGAAAAAAAAATTCTTACTCATTAAGAAGCTGGCTGAAATCAAAGAGAGAATGCTTGAGTACGCTGAATATTGAAAACAAATTATACCATAATCTAGCAAGATTCTCTGGAGTTCCAATAAAGCAGAGACAACACGTTCCCTTACCATAACAAGGGCAATTTGTATCAAGCAAAAAGTATTTATGAAACCAAATAATAAAATAAATTATCATTATTTTTCACCTATTAATGTTAAGATTAATATTCTGAAGTTTTATAGGAGTGCTACGGAAAAGTTGAAAGTGTGTGGGAAGCTACTTATTGAGATGCTTTACTTTTACAATTTGTGACACATTTCCAAGTGGATTAACAGTATACAAATTTATATTATTTTTCTTACTTCATAACTGGTCTACTGCCACTGTAGGTAAAATTTCACTTAACAGTAATGAGCACATTTGTCAAGACATCTTGATTACTTGAGGAATTCTGTAAATCTCTAGAAATATTTCAAAAACACTTAGCACCATTTTAATGCAATTTATTTACTCAGAAAAATGAATCAAACTAGAAGCATCTTAGAACTGCAGTTCCTGAACATTAAACATATGTAATCAAATGTTTTAGTGCAATCAGTAAGGAGGCAGGTTAAGAGCATGACATTTGTCATTAGTACACAGAAATGTAAAGCATAGCTTAGTAACTCCCCAAACTTATTAATAGTGGCCAAATTCAAAAGCAGAAAAAGCCTGTAAGACAACAGACTTTCTATTAGGTATTCCCAATTGAAAATGTGCAGGAATATAGAACTGTTACATAAAATAAACTAGGTGAAAATGAAAATTTGATGTCAGAGGAGCATGTTGATTCCCACATGGCTCACCAGGAGATCTAGAAGCTTTTTAAGAACTGCCCAGTTCTCATCCTTTTGAGCTAATTTGGATGGCACCAGCAGTCCAAGGCCTCAGTTTCACATTACAAAACAAGTACCCTCTGGGGGCCAACCATTAACGCCACAAAGCTTGCTAACTTCCATGCCACTTCTTTTCATTCATCATAATCCCAGCAGCGTTGAACAGGCGAGTTCTGTTCCAGTCTCCTCTGCACTGACCTGCTTAGTTCTCATCCAGTCTGTCTCAGACATAATCCCCTTCTCCTCCTTGGGCTTACACCTTAGTATCTTCTCTGAATCTTGCCCAACCCATCTGGCCTTTCAATCCAATTGTCCCCATCTCCTTCCTCTCTGATCCAGCAGTTCTCCTCTTTGCCTCCCACTTCTGCAGCATCTTTCCTCAAATACTGAATACTTATCTTCTGTGTGGAGTCAAAATCACCCCTGGCTGTTCAGAAGAGGAGCAAGAAAATCCTGTTCTGCTGCTGTGACTGTATTGTGGACCACGCTTAGTTCAGACAGAAGTGCTGGCAAGCTTAGCTGTCAGAACTTCAAACAGATCTCTACTCAGTATATGCAAACTGACTTCAAAATCTTCAGAGAATCTTGACTTAAATCTTGAGAGATTATCACAGGCATGCCAAAAAACATATCATTTCTGACAAAGCCGTGCTCCTACTCCAAAGCAAGGATGCTGTTAGACTCTTCAGTAAAATGGATGTAAAGATTTGAAGCGTCAAAGCAACTTCCTTCTCTTCACCTACAGTTTCAGATTGAAACTACTGAAATTGTAGTGGGTTTTCACTAAAAAGTCATCATTTATTCTCAGACAAAATTTTGTCCTACAGACAAAATTGCCCCTATCATATGACACTGAAAACTAGATGCTATAAATCAAAGTTCCAGGGAATTGAAAGTAATGGTGCTGAACCTTTTATAAATAAACTTTGACTATAACCTAAATACTGCTTCATAGTATTAGTGCAATTTTAAAGGAGCATCTTTTGACAACTTCACATTATGTAGCTAAGTGTCCTGCTTTGCTGCTAGAGTAGAAAAATGTGTAGAAAACACAAACCCAAGGCCAAGCTGCCGACAGACAACTTCAGCATCTGCATCATCCCACTGGTCATCACAGACAGTCCCCCACTGGCCGGCATAGTAGACTTCTACTCTTCCTTCGTGAGCATTGTTCCCACCAGCCAGCCGGATCGGAGTAAAGACAAGCTCTGTGAACAAACACAGAATAGAGGAAAAGGTCATTTCTTTCCCAAAATGTTATCCTGATAGTAAAGAAAAAAGATGGCGGCTTAATGGTTTCTCCAACATCACTCAAGAAGCACACTTTATTTTTCCTAGTTAGATGGAAAACCTGAAATTAAACTCCTTAGGAATGAGTTGCCCTAAACTACACTCTCAGTAGCTGAAGGCTATTATATAGACAAGTAACCATACTGATCCTGAGTTACTTAAGTGTCAGAGCGTTCACAGATACTTGGGACTGTAAGGCCAAGTACTACAGTCAGTAGAGCTCCATTTCTACCAGTAAGAGCAAAGCTGGCTCTGTACAGGCTTGGTCCCAGAGGGTAAAATCTGAAGTAAGAGGCAAAAATTATTCTTCTGCCACAGAAGGAGAAATTCATCTTCATGTTTTCTCATTCCTTTGGTAATTCCAGTCAGAGCAGTGAAATCGCACTGACTCTGGATTCTCACTGTAATTGTGCAAGTATTGTTCCCCTCCTGTTTCTGAGATACGGTTCGATTTTTGGTCTTTTCAAATCATTAGCCCTTTTCTGGTTCAGCAAGAAATTGTCTGGAAAGCACCAATTCTGCATAAAGCTATAATAATGGAAACAGCTTTAAACCATATATATATAAAAAAAAAAATAATCACTCTAGTATTTAAAAAGGTTATTTTTAAGTTTCACAATATCTAACAACTGAATTATTTAGAATGTGATTAATTTTTGTGTAGGCCTTCCAACCACTTAATGCTACTATTTCATTTATTTCATGGCTTAAAAAAAAAAAGAGAAAATTGAGGGCATTTCTTCATCTTACTATTTCACTAAAATGAAATCTGTTTTTTTGTAATTATTTAAAAAGGCTAGCTGCAGTAGCACCTGCAAAATGTGAAAGCTTCATCTAGTCTGCCAAAACTCAGAATCAATTTAATTCATTTCAGATATCCTGGACTCTAAATTACTGGTGAGCTTAATTTCAGCATTATTGAAACAGACAACAGTCTTTTAATAAATTTATCTAAGCGAAACAAAGTTTTCTGTTGAAAATGTCCATAAACAGAAGGAAAACCTTATGATCTAAAAGCATAATTTGCAAATTTATAGTTTTCAGTTTCTTTAGGCAAAACTACTTCTCTTGTTTTGGTCCTTCAACTCATCTCCTAGATTAAAAAGATTCTCCCTTCCCTCTATGCTATAGTTTTCTACAGTCAGACCAAGATGATTTTTTAGAAGTCATTTATCAAAATATTCCTCATGAATAGTGGAGCTTTAGGACAAAAATGCATCTGCCTTTGGATAGGAATGTAAATAGGAGAGGAAAGACAGCACAGAAGTGGCTACAGCCACATGTGGTTTGAAGAGATTGCCATTGCCAGCTCTCAGCACCGCCAGCCTAGCCTTCCTCAAGGCCAGCAGATTCTTAAATCTGATGGCATAATTGCCCATTTAGGTGCCATTCACAATGTTCATTAAAATAACCTGAAGCAGTCTAGTTTTGATTTGTGTGAGGTAGCAATCTTCTGCTAGGAAGACTTCGACCTCTTTTAAACGTATGCAGAATAGGGCAAAAACTTTGCAGTTCTTTGTGTGGTGTCATCCACGCTCACAGTAAGGAAAGTGATCCCAACACTTCTGTATCAAAGGCGAAGGCATAGGCTGTTTGTGAAATTGCTGCTCCTCCCTGCTGTTCAAGACAAGCTAACATATTGACATGTAGCACATGTAGCTACCGAAGACAACCTCTCAGTAGATAAATAAGTTATTAAATAAATAACTTTTTTAAAATGTTTAAAACAAATGGGGGGGGAAACAATCCTACTTTTACAGCCAGGGATTCTCACTGCTTCACCCTTTCTCACAATCTACGTGTCAAAGCAACAATTTGCTTGTCAGTTATGGAAAGGTAAAACGTAGTTCACCTACTTGCTGCTTGCACAGCATAGAGGGATTTGAAACAGTTAATGATGCAGTGATTCAATCTGTTTAATTTCCTGTTCTGAAAAGTCTTGACATTTTTTTCCTAATTTAATAAAGAGTAATTATTACTACTCCTATTTAAATAAGGTAAGGATTTAATGAAACCATATCTATTTTTTTTTTACCCAGGGAAGAGCTACATGTGACAGCAGCTGCCATTTTTTGAGGACATGCTCCATCCTGCCAGATGTCTTTTTCACATAACAGTATATTTTCTTCATCACCACGACAACGCACTTCACTCCAGTAAACCGGAATAAGGCCCAGTCCAGAAAATGGTATGTGTTTTGCTGTACCTTTTTCACTGTAAGAAGAATAATCAGGATAGGAGATTAGAGTGGGAGGAGGTGAAGTGGAACATTTTCTCATATATAAATCTTGGAGTAGAAAAGGAAGGGCTTTTTCAGCAGTGTAAATTCATCACATTTTCATACAGTTCAGCATTGTCTTCTGCACAAAGAAAAGTAACAGCTGTGACCCAGTTCTCACCATTTTGTTGTGGGATATTTTAGTACAGTGACCTGTGTTGCTGCAGGGCCAGTTACATTCCTGTTCTCCCAGTTCTTAACTACAAAAATAAACAGAGACCACAGTCCATAGGTGAATCTACAGTACCATCCCACTGCTTCCAGGAGAGATAATCCTAACAGACCTTTCACCCTTATCCTCTCCTTTACTACATTAAAATGCACCAGTGCCCTGCCCATACACATATCATATAATATGGTTGTGACTATGGAGCAGTGAAACCACTTCATACTCCATGAGATCAGGCCCGTGCCCATTATTCTCTATTCAGCCATTCCCACCCATTCAGAACATTTCTAAACAGCTTCCTTTCCTTCCCATACTGAATCTACAGCGACAGTTATTGAGCCATCTTTTCTTCCATATAATACCCAACAAAATTAAATTAAAAATAAAGCCCAAATATTGTAAAATCAAAGGAACAGATAGATAGAAGCACCTGAAAAACATCCACTAATACCTAGTGAGTTCACCTTGTGCTATATAGATCCAAATGTCTGCCAAACACTCATGATAACAGAAACTTTCAACTACCATCTGCTTGGGACGTTTTGGGCCTGGATTCAGATTTAAGCCATTTCTGTTGAAAATACCAAATCATTCACCCATATCACTGAAATACTTTTAGTAAAAGTGGTCTTGTGCAACCAAAATGTTCAGGGTACGAAGGCAAAAAGAACTTCCATGAAAATGAGGAAAAGAGACCTTGCACGTCGACAGAAGAAGGCATCATGGCCTCCAGATGACTGAACTTTTATCTCATCTAATCCTCATATTTTTATAAATTGGCATGGTGTGTCCAGATTAGTACTGAACATTATAAAACAGCTTAGATTTAGTTCTGGCTAGCAGTCTTAAGTGGAATAATCACTAGGAATGTCACAGTGCAAGTATGCTATAAAAGCCTCTTACTGCTTGTAGCAAACAAAATCACTACGTCAGTATGTGACCGAAAGAAATGTTAGAAAGGCAATAAAGCCAGCCATACTTTGTGGCTTACTGAGAAAGTGCAAACTGAATGGGGTGCTAAGGGGGGGATATTCAAGTAATTTGGTTGCTAACTTGAACAGCATTCACATTTTAGAAGCTGAAATTGCATTTGTTTTTAAAGCTCCCTTTTGGTATGGGCATTTTCTTCCTTACCTCAGTTTCATCTTACTACTGCAATTGCAGTATCACTATAGGCATTATCTAGAGTTTAATGACCAAATTATATTAAAGGGTGGGTCCTGTTGATTAACTCCATTCTGACAGCAGTGGGGAGTAGTGGTCAATGAGGACAATGCAGGGACTTTCAACCTGTCCAATATTACTATATAACTCTATAAAATGTTTCCATTAAAATTTAAAGCTGCAAAACTTGTCTGGGGTTTTTTTGTTTGTCTGTTACCAGTGTGCAACTCTGAAAGTAAACTGTACAGATTATCTAGCTAGATGAAGATGTACACAACAAAAATACCACATTTTCCAAAAAACCTGGTATAAGTCCCAGATGGTTTTTGGCAGGATAAAATGGACAATTACTAGGGTAACCCCATGCTCCTGAGAACCAGGAATTTTCCTATGATTAGGAGCCCACGTAGAGTCTAATTGTGGCCACATTTACATTTTTATAGATTCAGTATCCTCACTGGAGCTGTTCTTAATTGACACGTAAGTGAGATCAGGATCAGATTCATATTTCTGCCCTTGTGGACATCTCCCGGATGGCTAGTAAAGCAGTTTCTGTTTGCCCTAAACTTTCCTGACCTGTTCACACTTTCGACTTTGAAAAGCAAAGCATTTACCCTCGTCTGCTCCCCTCCAGATTCCATAAGCAGCTTTCAAATGAAATACTGATTTTCACAGCAACCTCTCTGAAGTACAACACAACTGAAGGAAGTGAAAGATTCTGAGAAGAACCACTTCAGCATTCAACAACTTTCAAGCAGAAAAGACAATTGTGAAACACAAAAAGCCCTCAGGATTTACAAAACAGATTGTCCTTTATAGTGAAACATGATTAAATAAGTTGACTGATTTTTACTCGGACTAAAACTTACCCAAGTGCAAGCTGTCGACATATGACTGTTGCATCATTATTGTCCCAATGGCTCCCACAGATTGTTCCCCAGATTCCGTTCAAATAAACCTCCACTGTACCTTCAAACTCATTCTTGCCACCCTGGAGTCTCACTGACCCTAGTGAAAAAAAAAAAAAAAAACAATAAATGAAGCCTCCAAGATATTCCATTGCTTAATTAATGTAACCCCCACAAAAGACTCCGAACCTGATTTTCCCTCTGCAGAGAAAGTTCCTATTTCATGTATTACCATCTTTGCACTCTTTGGGTGAGCTGCTTCTAAGAAGCACTCTGGCACATCTCACATTCTTACAGCATGATATACAAAAAGAGATAACCTTAATTTTTACATGAAGAAAACATTTTGCTTCTTATGCTGAAATTACATCACGTTTCTGATCCTTCTGATGCTACAACTTAGTTAAAGATCTAACAAAAGTATGTATAGACTACACGTAGTTACTTAAATGTGGTTACCTCTACCCAAATGAGGAAAATATACATACATATGAGTGCTATACTCTTATTTTCCACATAATTCCATCAAACTTAAGAGAATCAAGAGAATCAGAAAACATCTAAGTGGATTGCATAGCTTTTGCTCTGACCCATGTAACCTTATGCATGTCACAGATGTCAGCAGTTTATTTTAGCCAAAGAATGGATTTGTTCATACTTGTTCTCAGACAGAAAAGCATTGGATGTGATGTCTTTACCAAATTCTCAGACAAAACAAGCTAAAAAAATGAGGAATTGTCTAAAAGAAGTGAAAAAAAAAAAAAAAAGTCTGCTTCTTGAGAGCTACAGGATACAGAAATTCAAGAAAATTAACAGATTTTGCATTTTTTTATGTTAGCTTCACTTAAGCTGCCAGATGCATCTGCTGTTGAAGGTAGCCAAGTGCCACTGGTAAAGGTGGGAAAAAGGTGGTCATAGGTATAACTCTACAGAAGCAGACCAAAGAGTCATAACAGAGCAGTAGTTGAGCGAGAAAGAATACATTTCTGTTAAATTATCAAAGATAGCCTAATTGTATGCATTAGTATTGCCTGAAAACTCAGTTAATTCATCTGCCTCTCTTCTGTGATCTACCCAGTTTGCAGGGTTTTTAGCAATGGGAGAAAAACAGTCAATGTTTGTGCCTACAGTTGATTGTATATGTGTTCATGTATTTGTAAATAGTAACAGGTAGATCCACTTTTTCTTCTCAGCGTTCATTCAGATTGTGTCCTGATTTTAATTTAGTTCAGTGTATTTTATACAACCACAAAGCCAAACGACTGCCAAATAACCGAGGAATTAATTAACCTCAAACTTGGTTTTGTGTGTTCCTTTTTGCTTCCTATTTACTTTCTCAGCAGTAACTTACTGTGCAGTAGATTCTGTTTGCAAAATTTATTCAACTCATGTTACGGAGTAAGCTATCATTCTGAGTAGAGGATTATTAATGAGTTAATTTTAATACTGTAGACATGTTGCAGAATGTTTATCTGTCTTTGTAATTCTTCTCTCTGTTTTTCTGTCACACACAGACAGAGTCTGGAATTTTGTTTATTTCCGCTCTTCATCAGACTTTTGTACAGACTATTATTTTCACTGGAAACATCAACTGCAGTCATAGCAAAGTGATTCCTGACATACCAGAGAGCAACTTTGAAGATGTCATCTCTAAAAATAAGTTCATTTTTATACGACTGCTTACAGTCCTGCATGACACCTACTGAAATCAATACAGCATTTCCTGAGTCCACGTTACACAGTATCTCTATTCAAATATTTGAATAAGGGAGTGCTTGAAGTGATACCTGTTAACTAAGATTATTAGAAAACAGATATTTGTGGAATAGAATTATTAGGATCAGTTTAAGATGTTTTAATCATTTAACCATTGTGCTGTAGAACAAATACTGCTCTTTTGAAGAACAGCTGGAATAACTGTAGGATGAGGAACTCATAAATAATCTTACTGGAGACGGTTTGGCCTTGTAGTGGCAGGCACAAAGAAACATAAAGAAGCTGCAAATTAGCAACAAAACCAGACCAGGCCGGCCTTGAAGGACAAGATATAGGTGGCCACAGGACTGAGTTTGCGCAGAAGTAAGGGTCAACTGGCGGGCACAGTGAAGAAGACTACGAGCCTACATCTGAAAACCCCCAACGATCACCTGAAGACTCCAACAGACATGCGCAAGAGACATTAACATATGCTAAATAAGTTCCTGGAAAAGTTATGAATATGATAAAAATGCAATGAATATGTATGATTAAGGTAGTATAAATGCTTGTTGATTTCATTTTCACACACACACATGAAGAGGAGCTATCCCCTGTGTGTCTGGTGCTGTAATAAACAATGCTTGCTTTCCAAAACTCCAAAATTGAGTCTTAGAGAGTGAATTAATTACCACTTTCTGGTAACAGAAGAAGAAAATTCTCTTATGAGGTCTCTATGGCAGCATTTGGCTCACTCCTCTTTCTGTATTTACAGAATTTCCAGTGTCAACAGTGGAAGAATTTATTCACGTACACAGAGCAAAAGGTAGCACAGGAGATAACTTTTGCACCTCAGAAACTCTTTTCCCAACAATTAAAAAGGAAAGAAAGTTGAAATCCTTTGCGTCTCTGGTAGAAGCCTCAGGAAAGAAGTTTGGAAAGCACAGAGTTCTCAGTCACTGTGGACACGTACCATTAAACAAAGGAAACAGCCTTTCCCTCGCTACCCACTCCCCTAAGGAACCCCGGGTGATGTCTGGTCCCTGCTGAAGTGGGAAAACACACTACTGTTATCAGTTGGTAAGGAAGGGAAAATGACTGGAAGGGACAGTGCCTGATTTCCATGTGCCTGTGGGAAAAGATATAGATGAAAATAATAAATGATGGACTTTCCAAAAATGTATCTAATATCTCAACAAAATATTTTGGTTTTCCTTTTTTACAGCTGCATATAGGAAGACCAGTGTTTTATACATGGTAGTAGCATTCACAACAGACTTTTTTTCGTCTCATAAGAAAATACAATAAAGAACCAGCTTCTATCATATAGAAAACACACAAGATGATTGTTAATTTTTTAGCAATCTTAAAATATTCTTTTCACCTGATAAATTAATCTAGAAAGAAAGAAAAAGAGAGCCTGTTTTTACATGTAAGAATATTAAACATGTTATTCTGCCTGCTGTTTAAAAGAGTTAACCTAATATATGGTATAATAATTCTAACATGGTTGCATTGATTCACCACTCTCTTCATAGGACATTATTGATATCTACAGCTATGATTAACTTAAACCATGCTGGACAAAATCCAGCATTCTCTCCTCAAGCAAAACAATAACTAAACCCTTTTTTTAAAATAAAAGTTAGAATTGAGAACCCTCTGAAAGGTCAATATCTTAAACATATTTTTCCAAGTCCAGTCTAAGTGTTTCTAGCTCAGTATTTCAGCGATGTATCCAACAAGAGTAAAATGATACAGTATTTTGTTTCATATGCACTTTGAGGTATGTATCAACCTGTATCTTATCACAAGTCATAATTACGTAGCAAACAAATGAAAGGGTGCACTAATGAGAAAATTATTTCTCTGTTGTTTGCTCAAAATGTTGTGGTATTCAGACCGCTGGCAGTTATTTTACTGGATCAAGAGATACATTAGCTACAGTAACATGGATACCTCATAAAGCATAACAGAACTTTAAAATATAGACTTTCATTTCAGTAGTTTACTTTTTCTTTCCAATAGGCAAAACTCTTACTTCATAATGAAACACAGATCTATGTTTCATGTGTAAATTGATCATAGGCAATTGCAAGATGACCAACATCTGCCATCAGGTATGTTTATGCTGTATTACCAAGTGTCTATTTATTACTCCTGATTCAATCTTTGTTATTAAGAGCGTGTTAATATCTTAATCGCAAGATAATCAGTGTTTGCATTGTGAAATGACCAGGAGACATTCTTTCACTTCACAGGCAGCAAGGAAACTAATATTTAGCATGACTAAAAGGATACTGGTTGATTCTTAATTTCACTGGTTAAGTCTTCTACCATTACATTTTAATACCTCGAGCCTATAGTGCACCTCAACACGTGTGCCCAAGGGGCTTTCTTCTGTGCTGCCCCTAGGGCACAAGAAGCTCTGAAGAAGAGCATCTGAATTGCTTCTTAGAAAATAGGTCTGGCTTAAGCATATGCATTGGAGGCTCTAGGTTTCTGGAGCTGTAGATATGGCAGCATCTCCATTTTTAAGCTGCAAGTTTTCAGCTCTTTTAGTTGCTGAAGACAACTAAACGTGTTGGGAGTAGAGCTAATGCAGTAACATCTACTCTGGCTTTTATGCAACGCTCTGAGAAACTTACACTCTCTCCCCACTCTACCAACTCAACACGGTGCCAAGCCTCTGCTTACAGCGCTTAAAGCACTTATCAAACCTTCACTGCCTCAACACCAAGCTCGACAGCAGGGAACATGAGTACAGGGATCCTGCCCGTGGCTCTCAGTGTCCTCTTCAGCACTGGTCAGGAAGAGGAGGAACAAGGAGAGGTGAACTGAGCCCATGAGAGTTTGAAATAAGGGCAGAGGACCCCAAAGCAGGCCTACCAGGCAGCTCCATGACACATACCATGGTCTTACAAATGACTTAATTCAGCCCTACAGTGAAGAATACAAATCTACTGCCTTGAAAGAAACTCCTTGATTTATATACACTCAAAAAAATACATATGTGTTCCTTCTAATTATGTTCTGGCTGAGGTTACTGATGGTCACCCCACGTTGTTTACATACAGTCTGGTAATTTTAGTTGCCCTGGTATCTGCCCAAGTCAGTCTTTCCTATCTGCTATCAATCTTTAAAAGAGATTAAGTTATACTTGCAAATGCAAGGAAGTAAGGGTATCCAGTGGGTGCTGCTGAGACTTGCTCCGCAACACCTGCCATATAGGCTCAAGATGAGACACCCAGGAAAAAAGGGAGAGGAAAACCTCTTAAACAACTTTTAATTAACTCCAAAAAGCAGAAGAGGTTCAAAGGAATTGCACTTCAAAGGAATGGCCTCTTTTCCTATATCATTCTCACATCCAGAGATGCTGGGTAGCTTCACACCCTGTTTTATTTTCTACATTTCACTGAGAACGAGCACTGTTACTGTGTGTGGCTGAATTGCAAACAGAATGGGAATCGCGTCCACTTCTGCTGTACGTGTAAGTGCTGCAGCAGTGGGGTTTGTGGTGTTGGCTAAAGGTGTGCCAGTGGTTTCTTCATGTACACTTGTGTCCAAAGATTTGTAATCTGGCCGTAAATGTAGATTTGGAAAAGAGGGATCAGAAAAACAAGATGCCTGTGCCTTTCACCCTGTTGCTGGGTGCTCTGAAAGTGCAGATTTAAAGCAAGGCAATGGAAGTATTTTGAATTTTGAAAATCTGTAAAAACAACAAATATTTTTATTTCTGTTTTCATTTCCAAGGTGTTCCAACATGGGACAGTGCCACAGAAAGGCCCTGCACTGACAGTTCATCTCTGTTGCCTTGGAGTCAATTAGGTAAGTCCAAATTGACATGCTGTATATCCTATGTAACCACGTTATAACTCATAGTATTTCAGAACACTAGTGGATGATTCATAATACATATAAAAGAGTCTATCCCACTTTTAGAATGAAAATAATTCACTGGTTTGCACAAGGTACTTGTAAAAAGCTACCTGTAGTACAGGTCAAATCTAACACTGGTTCAGATCAATGGGAACTTTTCTTCCCTTCCAGAATCAGGCCTGGCTAAAATCAAAGAAATTAATCCTGTTGACTACAGCAAACCTATGGATGACACTCGCTGCTATCCATGAGCGCTGTTGTCCATCACTTTTCTGAGCACCACTCTTGGTCTAAAATTATAATTATTTTCTCCTGGTATTTTAACCTTGAAGAAAGGATGCATCCATCAGAACTACTTTTTAAGAACTATCTTGAGAACTTTAGCAGATAGCAGCATTGCATACTGAAGGATCCTTATATTAGAAGTTTCATAAATACTGTATATATTATGTAATGTGCTGAACTGGTTCCTCTGCAGCAGTGAGATTCATCATGTCAATGATCAGTGGCTTAATGCTCTGAAAAAATAACCGAAGCATTAGGAGTGTAACGGGCTCTAAAGGAGCGCAATTGTCTTATGTGGTGCAGAGCTCTAGAAAATGAGAGGTTCACACTCTGCTGCTGTAATAAGAATGGTTCCAGAAGGGCTCCTTCTTAGAAGGAATATATAGACATTCATGTTTAATTTTTCATAATTTTTTTTTTTAAACCTACACTATCTAAAAAAACAAAACCCAAAAAGACCTTCCATCAACTGCCTGGACTATAGTATAACAGGTAGGGAGACTGATGTAGTGTTTATACTATGAGCCTGAGGCTTGATTCTTTCCTCACAAATGTTTAGTGAAGCATTATTTGATTGACATTAGTGGAATTATCCTGTAATAAAAGCCATTTAAATGGAAAGACTACAATCTGGCCATTCTGGAGATGTGTATATTTCCAGTTCTGCCACTGATTGGTAGTGTGACCTCTGTCAAAGACACTTCCCCTCTCTTGTATTGTTTCCCCTTTGTAAAATAACAAAAAAAAAGTAAGCTCACTTTACTCAAAGAGCTTTAAATTAGGTATGCAACAACACAGCATGAACAACATACCATGCAGAATACTGCAGCTACATGCCACATAAACACTGTGTGATAGCAGCTGCTTCTAGGTACTGAGGGTAGGCCTCTTTTTTGAAGCAGGAGTACATTACAGGTAAGTTGTTATTAGCAGTAACTAACATACTGAATTCTGCTGGACTTATGCTGGCTCTGTGGACAGAGTAGTACTCTTGTACTCATTTATTTTCCTCTATGATTTCCTTGGTTAATCATAAATATACATATTTGTATTTGGTTTGCTTGCTTTCAAGGCATGAATAAATAATACTACCCAGGTGTGCCTCATTTTAGAAAGAAGGAAATGAAACACCAAAATCTATTATTTTAGACTACAAAACAGATTTTAGACTGGCACCACATAGTAAAATTGCAAAGACACTTTTTTTTTTTTTTTTTTTTTTTTAATTTTTCATCGCTAATATTTAAATATAAAGCAGTCTACTATAGGCACATGGACAAAGTTTAGCCAATTAACTTTGCTGGTAAGTCTCACTATTTAAGCTAGAAAAGCCAGGAGATTTACAGTTAAGGCTCTGAACGTGGTATTGAATTTAGTTACTGCAGGTGCCTAATAACTGAGCATGGGCTTCCTTAGCACGTGTGCTAACGCACCAGATGCAGTGAGTTTCTCTCCGAGTAGGCTATCCTTCTCTAGCTATAAAGTGAATCATAACATTGCCTCACTTGCATTTCTTTCCTTCTTTTAAGAAAGGAGCATATTTCAGGACAAAAATGTTAGAATCGTGTTTATTTCTGGGCAAATGGCTTATTTCTGTATTCCACCTTAAGCCATCTCACACACTCTCTCATTCTTTCCTATCACCTCCACAAAGGTTTTTGACAGGTGCTTGCCCTGTTGATGTCACTGAGAGTTTACCACTGAGTCCAGCAGAAGCAGATGACCTTTCGATTAGATAATATTGGCTATTTTTCAGTGGCTATGTCCTCCCTCTTGACAGGGGCTAACCTGGATTTCCTTTTTCTGGAGGCAAAAAGAAAAGCAGCATTCTGAAAAGACTGAAGAAACACAACTAAACCCAAACCATGTAGTATTTTTGGCCTTTTTTTTTTTGGTACCAAAATCACATCCATGCTGAACTTACATGAGATTCTGGAATGTACTAAAGTAACTGCAAGATTGGGTTCTTAGCAATAAAATGCCGCGTTCTTCTTCACTGTAAAATATTCAGACCAAGTCCTCACAAAGTATTTTGGGAACCAGATGGAAGAATTCTGAAAAAAGCCACAAGTATGATAGGCTAAAGTCAAAGAAGCAACTGTGGGACCCTTTCCCAAACTGAGAACAGTTAAAGGGCATGAAGTCTTCTGGATTTTTTTCACCTGTGTTTAGTTAATCTGTTTTCTCCTCTGTGGCATCAGCTGCCTGGTATTCTTTCCAGGGAAACACCTGTAATGCATAATATCATTCTGTCTTCTTGAAGGAACTTGGAACACAGCTTTGGAAGCTGCATTTTTTTTTTTTTAATGCATAAATGATCAGTATGGACTTTGGTGCCTCCATATGCTCTTCACGTGATATTTAATCCAATATGTGTAATTATCACATTACCATCTTTTTTTTTTCAAATTACCATCTTTTTTTTTCCACACACCTTCTAGAGCTATTGTTGGAAGAGAAAGATAACAATCTTTAGAGATCTGGAAGTAAAATAACAAAAAAAAAACACCAGCCCCAATCCAACTTCCACAAGAACAAAATTATTAATAGTATTAACGATCAACATCCTTGCTGACCTTGTGGTATTACAAAATAGCTAAAAGGAAGGGCAACAAAGGAGGGATTTTTTATTTTGATTGCAACAATTACGCATGATCATTTTTAGTGTAGCTATAGATAGGACGGAATTCTTATTTAGGCAGGAGATAATACCAGAGCGATGCAGGAGAAAATGTGAAGTAATTCAAAACCAGTCTGTACATAAATATATCTAACACCAACACGGATGAAACGTAAAGCTGATCAACTGCTCAAGGGCTGAATGCTGAAATTGCTGTTCAGTCCTTAGGCACTGAAAACTTCCACTGAAGCCATTTGGCTGGGGGGAAGCACAGGTCCCTCGGCTGGCTTCCCAGGCGGGTGCGAGCACCAGTGCTGACTTGCAAACCCCATTATCCCAAGATGGAGAGGCGAGCAAGAAAATAAACAGAAGACAGAAAGGAAAGAAAGATACTAGGTGATCAGTTTGCGTTTAGAGCAAGGCTTCCTTTTGCTTTTCCTTCTGCCACTTCGCTTCTGTAGTGCTTCGCAGAGAAGCGCTCCCGGTCACGGAAAGGGGGAGCACGAAAAGGGGAGCGCCAGTCTTGGCTGGCCGAGCCCCTGAGCACCCGGGGCTCCGCTCCTTAACGCCACTTACCCAGCAGCAAACGCCGTCCGAACAAAACCAGGTGGGACCTTCGCCTCCCCGCCGCTCCGGCTGCAGAGGTCTAAACTCTCCGAAAAGCTTTCGCTGTCCCTCCGCCACAAGGTAGCCGCACTCCCCCCCCCCCCCGTCTCCCCGTCCCCTCCGGCGACGGGGGATCCGGGTGCGAGGACCACCCGGCCGAGCCCCCCCCCCCCCCCCCCCCCCCCCCCGGCTCACCTCGCTCGCAGCCGGCGCGGCCCCGCTCCCGGCGGCCGCAGGGTCCCCGCTGAGCCGCCGCGAAGCCCCCGGCGTGGGGCGGCGGGGCCGCGGGGGGAGGTTGCGGGGGGCGGGCGGCCGGGAGGCTGGGGGAGACCTGCCCCAGCCCCCGGGCTCCGGGGATCGTCCCGATCACCAGAGCCACCACGAAGCCGGCGAACGTCATGGTGCCGGTCCCGCCGGCTCGCGTCCATCTCCCCCGGGATGCGGAGGAGGAAGGCGGGGCCGCGGCGTTCCGCTAATCCCCCCACGCTCGCACACCCCTGCCGCCCTCCTCCCCCCCCACCCCCCACGGGCGGGGGGGAAGGCGCGGAGAGAGACCCCCCTGCGGCGCGGCCGGCGAAGGGGGCGCGGAGGGGGTCCCGCACCGCCCTCGCTGCCCGCTCCCCCGTGTTCCCCGCTGTCCCGCCGCAGCTCCGCAGGCTGCCCCCCCCCCACCCCACCACCACCCACCACCCCCCTTTCCTTTTTCTCGCACCCCTCCCAGCCACCCCCCCCTCTCCGCCCGCGGCTGTGGCTCTCCCGACCCTTCCGACAGCCTCACGAAGAGCAGAAGGAGCCCGGGCGAAGGTTGGCCCGGGGAGGGGGCGCGCAGCTCTGGGGAGAGAGGGACAAACCGAAAGCGGTCGGCGGTTGGGGAGGCAGAGGATGGAGAGCGCACCAGGCGTGTCTGCGGGAAACAAAGGGGCTGGGAACAAACGCCGTGAAGAGAAATGTCTTCGAGGGTTTAGCTTTATCCTAGCCCCGTGTGCTCTGAATAGTAATCTGCTTATTCCCGGCCACTGCAGAGTTCTGCATGACCCGATCATCGCTGATTTTCCACCAGGATGGCCCTCAGTTTTTCTTCTTTGTCTCATACTGTTCAGTTGCTAGTTTGGGTTAGCTACTATTTCTTAATGCTGGTTTTAATCTATGCTGTTCGTATTTTGTGAAGGTCAGCTCTGCCTAATAGAGCACACCCCCTTCATTTGCCACTTTGTCTCTAATTTGAATCTGTAGATTCACTTACCTATAGGGTCTTTTTTCTTCTCTAAAGCATGCTGAGAAGTGTTAACCTGGTTTCTGGGTGAGCACATCAGTATTGCCGCAACCTTTCATTGTGACCAGAGTCTGAAAGAGAAGCAGAGTGCGCTTTGTGCTTTCTGTGCAGGATCCCCTGCACCTCCAGTAAACGGTGGCCTTCCCTTAGCAGCCTCCGAACTGTTCAAAAGGTGCAAAATGCAACTTTACCAATTTAACCTTTTGTTTATAAGAACAAAAGAGCTCCAGTGCCAAGGAAAAGCAGGTCCTTCAGTGTTTGGTATTACCAGTATTCATTTTAGTTCTGCTCAACTGTGATTAATTATTATTGCAACATTACAGTTAGTATTTTAATCACTCACAAAGTGGAAGAATACTCTGCTGGGGTTTCTACAGCAACATGGTAACTATCCCATGTGTCCTTGTACTTCTTTGTGGATATAAGGGCACAGATTGTTATTTCTGAAGTTTCTTCTGAGGCTATGTATATGCATTAGTTTTAGAAGCTGTTGGGACTGGCAAGAGTTTAATTTGTTTTCAAAATATTTGCATATATACAAGATGTGAGCCTGAAAGCAGCTCGTTATGGGCATTTTTAAATTGTCTGAAAATTCCTTGCTGTCATGACAAGTTGGTTGCTTTTATACTTTGGAAGGACCGGTTAAAATCATGCTCAGCCTAGCTGGTTAAGACTTATTTCATTGCCTGGTAGACACTTTTTGGCATCACAGTAACAGCAGTATTTCATTTTCCCTGACCTAAGCTCTTCCCGCCCCCCCCCCCAGCATGGAAGAGGAAGGGCTCTGCTGATCAGCACAGGAGGAAGAGAACAGATGAATATGATGAATCTTAAAAACACTTCAGGCAAAGCTTTGAGCCTGGTACTTATTCATGTATTCTGATTACGTTAGCCTCCCCTAGGTGTGTGGGCCAGCAGGAATCTTGCATGCAGTGAACTTCCTTTGCCTAGGTAGGGTGGAGGTGTTTGTGCTTGAGAAGGCAAAATGGTACTAAGCAGGAGGGGGGGGGGGGGGGGGGGAAGGGGAGCTACACAGGAAAAAAGGTTTGGAAGTAACTAGAATGATAAAAGAAGCATCAAGAGGAAAAAAGCAATTGTCATAACGCTTCCCTCCCAAAACAGGGTTCAGGTTTAATTGAAAGATCTAAATGTACAGATTTACTCTTGAACATTGTAATTTTTATCATGACTGTTACTTTTGATTTAATCATATAAGGAGAATGAGCCTTCACTGGTTTTAATAACTGTAAATTAGTTTTCACTATGATGTGAGGTCTCTTAATGCTGCAGGAAATAATGTCAGAATTTACAAATTAAGGACTTGGTCTGGCTTCCATTCAAGACATTGATGATAGTTTCACTGTAAGTAGTAGGAGGGTCCCTTTTCTACGAAACACTGGCACTGATGCAGTTGTTTTTCCTGGAGGTATGCTTTGCACTTTGGTTGCAGCTCCTGTCTTGGCCAGAGCATTTACAAGTGTCCCCTGGGTATGGTTCCTCTTGTGTTTGAACTGTGGGAGCTCATGTTGCAGTTTTTCCTTTGGCTGTGGCACTTACAGGTGCCACTTATAAAATCACTCTTACCTGCTTGACTACTTTTGTTACACTTGTAGGAAGGTCATTACCAGTGTGACTTCTACCTCTGTCACATTTCTCACAGTTGGTCAAAAATTACTGGAAAGAGCAAAGACAAAGCCACAGTGACATGGACAGACAGTGTGGTTTTGAGAACATTGCTTCTTTTGGACATCACACTTCAAATAACAGTAAGAATTACAAGTGTGCCTCAAATGAAACTGCCCTGTGCTTTATATACATATATATATATAAGCACCTTCATGTGTTTATAAAAAAGAAGCAAAGGCTTATTACTCCGATATAGCTGATATAGCTTTAAAAACATGACACATATGAGATGTTCTTAGTGCATTTGGTTGCCTTAAAAAGTTCTATCTCCGCTGTACAAAACTGTGGAAAACTCATTCACAAATTGAATTAGAAATGAAAGAAAAAACTATGTTTGCTCAGTTAGGAAAATAAACAAGTAGATCTTTGGAAACCTCAAAAGGTGTCAGTAGATCTGGGTATTAACGTACAGCTTTGATTCTGAAATTACAGTATCCAACTTTTCAGAAAAAAATCATCACAAAATGTTGAGAAAATAATAAATCTTTGGAAACTCTGATAGTTGTACTCCTGCAGCAGCACTGTGGGATTTCAAGTTAGTAATCTGTGCTTAACAAGGCCTGCATTTTTAGATGAAAGTAAAAACTTGCTTTGGTCTTTCTAGCTTGGTAGAGAAAATAATCCATTAAGATAACATTACAGTGGGTGAACTGCAAAACATTTTCAGTACTTAATCTTAGTATTTAGTTTGTATCTCATATGCACAGAAGCAGGACCTATTGACAGCAGTCCCGTGGAAGTCCATGGAACGACACTTGTGACCAAAGTTAACAAATCTGTGCTGCATACCTGACAACTTCCCTGAGAGCAGTTGTAGGAAATCATCTGCTAGAATAGGTCTTAATTTCTGTACAATTCCACAAGGTTGGATGCTTTTTTCTCTCCTGATATTTGACAGCCCAAATACCACACTTGATAACACAAAGAATAATAAATAATTCATAGGTACGAACTGATCTAACCACTCCAAACACCACACCACCCCCCCGTATTTCTATGCATACATTCCTCAGGTTACCTGAGAAACAGAAATATTAGAAATACTCGCATAATACAGCAGCAGCATGGGTTATTCATGTATGCAAGGCTTAAAAGGAAACTCACACAAGAGCTTCCTTTATCCTAATAGCTTTCTAAAAGCACTTGATAGTTCTTTCCTGTCGCTGACTCTGCTTTTGCACAAAATGTGTGAGGATGCATGTTACCAGAGGACTGCTTTTTCAAGGCACGATTCTTGTGAATGGGTGAAGGTATCTGATGTGTGGGTTATATAGGCACAAATAGTAGCCCTGCGTTTCAAAACCAGTTAATACCACACAGTGAAATTTCGGCTGGAAAATCTGTTTTGCTCCCGTTTAAATCAGTATCAAAATTCACTGATTAGCCTCTTCCTGTGTTCAGTGAAGCTGCTTACCTTTATTTTTGAGTAGCTCATACAGCGTGCTTCCAGCATAGATTTTAGAAAAGCTGAGCACTTCCAGCTGTTGGTGGAATTCAGTTAAAATACTGTTGACAAATGAAGGCCTGAGTCAGTCCCATCTTATTGCCACCGATAGCCTTAAGGCAGGGTATTCTCTCCTGCATTCCCTCCTGGCCAGGTTAGAGTCAAACAGCAGTGTAGGTGTGACCGATCAGCGCAAGGCTTGACCTCAGGCAACGTGATATATGAAAAACAGCCCCAGGAAATAAGCACAAGTACAAAGCTGAGAGAACGTAGCCAAACAGCCAGGCACAACATACTGTAATGAAATGATTTTCGGACTATCCATCTAATAATTTCTTACTGTTATCTCTTCACGTAATCAAGTATGCTGAGGTCAATAGATCATCCGTGGGCACATGACCTGGTGGGCACGGAGTGAGCTCTAACAGCACCAGACAGGGGCTGAAATCAGGATGAGTCGTCGAGGCAGCAAGGCTTCACACAAAGGAGTTTTCCATGGTGCCATAATGAGTCAGCATTTTTAGGATATAAGTCAGCACTCTTACAAAATAATTTTATTCATTAATCTCATTCTTTTTAACAAACATGGGCAACAGAAATTTGAAGTCCTGCCAAGTCTGACTCAAAATTAATTTGGGTTTGTGCTTATATGGAAGAGAATAGGCCTTTTGTCTGTAATTATATATAAGCTCCAGAGGGCGACCCTGCATTACACAGGATGTAACTGAACAGCCTGTAATTGATGAGGTTTCCATTACCACATAACACAGTGTGCACGGTAATGAGATCATAGAAAAACCTTTTTTAAAGTGTCAAGTACTTTTTTGTACAGCAAGCTGATAAGGCAATAAGAAACCCGATTTCCTGGAAAAAGGCAAGAAACTGAAAAAAGTAAGAAACTTAAATTTCCTGGAACAATTCAGTACCTAGGTGCATTTGTGCCTAACACTGGGTTACACGGACTTGATGAAATAGTTGCATTTAAAACTGAAAGGTAAACTGAATCACACAAAACTGGTGAGCATTTTTTGTTTAATACAGTGAGTGGAAAAAAAATGGTATTTCAACCGAGATAGTTTTGATATATGCAAAGTAACTATACATAGTTTTAAAACTATCACA